CTGTAGATGACCGTTCATCACAGTGTTGTAGTCTTGTCCCTGCATGTCGTACGCATATCCTAATGTGGCAGAACCATTCAATGGGAAAATAACTCCGGATTGAATTATAGTTCCACTAAAGCAATACAAATCATATCCACTTCCAAATGTTGGCCCATAGTTGGCGTGTCCATAGATTGCTTTTTTTCCGTCCGTTTTATTGGGAAACTTCATGGGTTGTGCTGTACCATTATACTTTAGTTTAAACAAAAATGCTTTTGCGTCGATGCTATAGGAATCATTTGATTGCCAGCTTTATTGTACAGGACGGTGACGGTCGGCCCTTTGTTGTCACAGAGACTATGGAAGGTCTGAGCGTTACATCCGTCACGGCTGATCTTGTACAGTAAGGTAAAATTGCGTCGCTTAGACGGGTCAATCCATGTGGAAAGTTGATCCTTATCGTGTTGTTTTAGATTTGTCGTCATAATGTTACCTACAAATAGCGTGTTTTTAGGTCACCTGAGCTTTAGCTCAAGTGACCTATTGCTATCCATTTTCGTCCGTCGTCGTCCGTCGTCCGTTAACATTTTACATTTTAAACTTAAAGTCAAGTTCTGCTTGGCCGATTGAACTGAAAGTTGGTAGGAATGATCGCTTAATGGTCCTGACAAAGTGTTGTTATTTTTCAGGTCAATCAGAAATCCAATATGGCCGCCACGGCTGCCATTTTGAAAAACTATTTCAAACTTAAAGTCAAGTTCTGCTGGGCCGATTGAACTGAAAGTTTGTAGGAATGATCGACTCATGGTCCTGACAAAGTGTTGTTATTTTTCGGTTCAATCAGAAATACAATTTGGCTGCCATGGCCGCTATTTTGTAAATACCTATTTCAAACTTAAAAACAAGTTCTAATAGGCCGATCTCACTGAAAATCGGTCTAGGAATGATCAGCTCATGGTCCTGACAAAGTTAAGTTAACATTGTACTTAACTATTTTTTACTCAAATTGGTACATATTTCAACAACAAAAATAGATACTGTAGGACTCAGGTGACCGTTAAGGCCCATGGGCCTCTTGTTTATAGTTAAGACTGAATAACTTAGATCATTTTGCTGATAGTATTTTGATGCGTACAGGAGAGTATGTATGTGTGGGCAAAGATGAAGGACATTTAATATTGTATATACCTTTGTACACATTGTAATGCATAATGCTTCAATCAATAATTAAATTATCAATATAACTATTTTGGAAATACCTGTTATTCAATGTTTATTTACGAATCAATTTTGAAATATGGCGGAATGTCAATTTATTTTTACATGATCAGTCATAGATCGTCTATCAAAGTGAAACGACATGTGCGTAGAAATAGTGATAAAGACAATTTCTGTTTTAATTGATTAAAAGGAATATTATCTGACACCGATCAGGTACAAATTGCAGAACAGTTTATACATATATGTAGCTTTGCCATATCGTGTATATACATCTAAAGAGATCGTTACAACACTGTCCCCGATGGAATATTTTGAAAGCAGGAGATTGCCAGCAACCATCCGACCTAAATAAGCTACAGCGTTTTTATAGTTAAAGACGGTGTATGTAATTACTGGTTGGTGGTGAAGGATATTTCCCTTCGAAGGTTTTGCTTGGAGGAGATTCCGTTTCGGCCGCCGGAGGTTTGGCATGGCTGTAGAATGAGCTTTCACTTTCAGGGGGTTTCCCACGTTCTCACTCAGTCACGTGATGGGCTCCTCCGGTCGTATGACAAACGTATGGATTTCGTGTTCAGGCGTATGGGAGTCGTATGAAAGGCGTATGAAAGTCGTGTTGAATCGTGTTAAAACGTATGAAGATCGTATGAGTTTCTTTCCACGCTCCCCAACACGACTGAACGACTGAACACGATCTTCATACGATTGAACACGACTGTCATACGACCTTCATACGACTGAACACGACTTTTCAGCTCGGATTAAATCGAGAATGCTAAAATTTATAACACGATTTAAGCCGAGCTGCGACGTGCGCGCGACCGACCACGACCTAACACGAATGAACACGAATGAGTGCGCGACCTTCATACGTTCTAACACGATTTAAGGAAACACGTTAAATCGTGTTCATTCGTGTTCAGATTCGTGAATGTGAGATAGGGGCTTTAGTTTGATATAATTTCAGGAAGATAGATACAGTCAAGAAACTAAAGGTAAATATCACTACTTCTGGTAAAAAGTCTTTTCGCTGCGAAGCCGCCGAGGTGCGAAACAGTCTACCTAATGAGGTACGTTAAGCAGAAAACTTCAGAGTATTTTGTATTTTGTTGCGCACCTGGGATGGTGAAATCTGCAAATACTTTTTTTTTGTTCCTGACTCCATTTTAGTTGTAGTTTTATATTTTCTGTTTGTTTATCTGCAAACTGGTATTCTTGTTTTTATTTTGTTGATTATTCTTATTTTGTGATTTTTGTTAGGTCTATTTCAAAGAAATGACTACATTGTTATTTCATAGCTTTGTCTTATAGGGCTAGGTAGGTAGGGACTGGCCCAACCACCTGTCCGGTCTTACACTCCACACTTATATCATTTAATGTTTTAGTACAGTAGTCTGTATATGTATTGTTATATCAACACAAACCTATCTTTTGTAACTTTGACGTACTTTATTTAACTCATCTATATTTTATTCGTGCATGTAGGCGTATGTTTATTTGCATGCTTTGTTTTGAATTGTTTTAAATTCTACCTGTTTGTCGCAGAAATAGCTCTACCGAGCTAATGTTTGTATGTTTATGGTATGCGACGTTAAATAAATATTCTTGTATCTTGTACCTCGTACCTCTTTCACGGTTGACCAGTGATACAAAACATTTACCCGTTTTCTGGTAATTTACAGGTACAGGTAACGGATATTTGTTTACGGTTTATCTGCATTTACAGTACGTACGTGGTGTGACCGTAAAGCTACAGTACACACGATAATTTAACGGTCGTTCAACGATAATTACGGTATTTCGCCATTCCGTGTTGATGAACATCTTTCGTGAGTAGAGTGTGCGGACTGTCAATACCACGTTGTTCATAAGAAAAAACAAACTTCATCAATGTTGATCAACAGTATTCTGTACTTACACCCAAACTGACGACGGTCCAAACCGTAAAATTGGTCACAAAGTCAAAATCACAACATAGGACAGCTTCACGGGTTCAGGTTTTTACAGGAGCCAGTATGGCTTTGAAAGTCAATCGAGGGATTTAAAGAACAATACGATAATTGCTATTGATTACATCAAGTTGCGGAGGTGTCAGGTGTCACATTTGGCTTTTATGAATCAATGTTTTACATGTACGATATAATCTGTTTGTGTGTGTTTTCATTTAAAGAATCAAGTACATGTATGCGTACGCTCCATTACAGTGATTTGTTTTAGACTTGCGATATGCTTACTCCTTATGAGATACTAAGGGTTTTCATCCAAACAATCTTGTGGACGTTATATATACGCATCGTATAGTACAAGTTAACGAGGTCGGAGACAGCTTGATAGTTCGATTTTAAATGTAACACATCAGAGGTAAAACTTGACGGACTTGCAAATACAAATGAAGACCTAGAAAGACTAGCCAAATCAACATTTAATCACTAGGCCCGTCCATATTTCATACCGAATTCGCAATATGGTGAACCGTTTTTATCGCGTTAAACGAAAGTGCGTTTATCGGAAAAAAAAAATGTTGTAAGCGTGTTTATTGTAAAATAACATACAAGTATTTGTCCTATTGATTACGTATGTATATCATCCATCAATTGATTATAATCATTCGCTATTAGTACAAATCAACGACTGCTAGTGCTATGTCCAAACAGTAAATTTCATACCAAATATGTGAACCAGCTTAACTCGAACACTCGGATAACTCGAAGTTTTCCTACGACCCGGTCGATAACGAGGTTCGACTGTAGATACTCATGTTAATTAGCTGAAATATGGCAATATACTTAAATGAGGAAATTCACAAGTTTACATAAGAATTCGTATTCAATCACAGGATATTCCTTAAGATATCAACCACGATACTTACCGTACAACTGTGAAATAGCTATCGCACACTTGTGCGTACGCTTTAATCGCCCAATTTTTCATTTTCATGTGCGTGTTACATTGTGCGATCCGACAACAGTACCATCCTGGCCTGGGTATTTTGTTAAGTATGCATCGTTTATTCATTTCTCCGTGTACTGTTATTATCAGCAGTTTTATAGATAAATGCTTCATTTGAACAATAAACTATACGGCTTGGGTTTCCTACCGGATAGAAGTTATGACCGCCGGATCAATGTCGTTAAAGAGACGCCAGGGGGAATATAACAGGTGCATGATGATATGATTACTCCTTATGAGATACTAGGGATTTTCATCCAAACAATCTTGTGGACGTTAATAACATCTTCATTTCGTTTTCATGAAGTGTTGTTTCAACAGACGGTAACGATTGTTGGCCTGTGCGTGGCAATTTTATACATGAAGCTGGTTTAGCAAGTAGAGATGGGCAAAGTGGTATTATCTTTAATATGCCGGACACGTCACGAGGTATTCGGAATCCATCTATTTTCAAAGTACCTTCATTTTTTCAGAGCTAGGTAAAAAATCATCTTATTTTGTCTCGTTAATAGTTTGGAATATTTTAAAATGAATTGATCTTTTCCTTTCCATTGCCATTTTTAAGAGCGAAGAATATTCTTAACTTGAAAATCTTAATTTTAAAGTTCACAAATTGAAGTATCTTATGCATGTATGCGATGACAAAGATTTTTTTCTCTAAAAATAGTATAACAGATAGAGAATCAGAACAGATAACTGACTGTGGTACATCAATTGATTTAATGTGCTCAAGGCCGAGATAAATAGCATGGGCGTCTGTGGAGAATATTAACGCATTGTCAAGGAAATGTACTGAGTAATATTAGGATAAGACGAACTCACACCCAAATTGAGTAAACAAAGGCATTAAATATACAGATAACAAGATTTATTCACAAATCTAAAAAAATTAACAATGGAATATACAATATGATTCACACAAATGAACTATGTTGTCAAACTATCAGTGTGGCAACTATTTATACACACTCGAGCCCTCTAGCTCCTCAATGTCTCAAATTTCATCCGGTTCTTTCAAACACACCGAACAAAAATACACCTGGCACATGACAATAAATGCCATGTAGATTGAGTATGAACACACAGATTGAAATATTCATTGTCCTAAAATTACAATATTTCCGGGCTACTTACACTGTATCGAACACAAAGGTTTTAACCAGGTTAAAAGGTTTGTACACACTGTTCTCACTATAACATCGGTGTAACCGATAGCATTGCAAACACAGTTCTAGCAAAGACTAGCATTGAACACACAGTTCTAGAAGAATTGAACACAGTTCTAGCATTGAACACACAGTTCTAGAATTGAACACACAGTTCTCAACTATTTATGTTTTCATTATAAAATCAAGTTTGAAACACAATGTTCAAAACTAAACCTCATAACAACTGTCATGATGACCATGGGGCTTTATAGTAGGTAAAGTTCATCAAACGTCCACTCATATCTTGTCCAGTCAGCTGGCCCTCGTCGACGTCAGCCTTGACCTGTGCCTCCATTAGTAACACTGGCCCCTTTGGAACCCCATGGATGGTCGTTTTCTGTCCATACCCTCTAGGCTGGTACTGTTCTCTTGTTCCTCAAATAGCTGTAACTCCTGCCCCGTACGTTACAGGTTTCCACCCCGCCCACCCACAGGTGTTTTGTTATGGCCCAACATTGGCCTCTCTTCACTTGGCCGCTACCACAGAGGATGTCTCTCAACAGGCAAACATCTCCCTCACAACTTTACAACATTGGGAAATGTTAACGCCCATATAAATAGCACCAGCGAGCCATTTTCCACACCACGGCTCACACCGCCTCACAGTGTCTGCCAAGATGACGGACTCCAACCTCCCCATATGGAACTCACTCAAGTCAGCAATGAGAAAAATGTCATTGTTTACTTAAGTTGGACTCCATGAAATTGCCAGATAATGTTTTTCTTTTATTAACATTGCTAGTGCGTTTGAATACATTCTTTCACATTTGGCAAAATTTAGTCCAATACAATTTAAAACGACATTTACATTATGTTTTCGTATCTTATTTTAATTGCTGTTTTGAAGTATGACCTTACACTACATTGCTGTATGATGGACCTCCAATGGCGAACTATATTTCTTACATTACGTTAGTACGTAGACTTGCACTAGCTTCAGTACCAGCGACAGACCCTAAAAAACGTCACCAATTCAAGTAAATAAAAAATAAGTATTAATTGAAATATAAGGATTGGATCCTGATTTAGTTGATTTCATTGAGGAAAGTGGTGTCTTTTATGTGTGTTTGTTGTGTTTACGGATGTGATTTCACTAACACTGTGACTATATGTTTGAATACACAATGGTATATTTAATAATGTTATTTATATTGCTTATATATAAAATGTAGGGAACTACAAGCTAAATGATTTTTTTGTTTCAATATTCACCTTAACTGCCATACAAATGCTTTTCTCTGTTATATCACAATATAAGTTTCAATCACGGATTTTCATGTGTTGCATCTTGTCAGTCACAATTTCATCAAGTTTGTTGTACAGGTAGTCGTCAGCGAAATTGAGAATTCGTCTGAGGCTGAGAAGTGACAGAATGTTAGTGTTCTGATCAAGCTCTACCTCACATTCGTAGTTTTTGACAGGAAGTATGTGCGACCTGGGCAGCCCCATGACCATGGCAACCCTGTCCACACAATCTTTCATCCTTGGACTGAAAAACACTTTGCTGATATCATTGGAGATCTCCTCACAGATTCTGTCGATTTTCGTCAGAAGTACAACCTGGGGAATCCCTGTAAAAACAAGTTTTGATAGATTCGTTAAGATGACTGAACAATGAAGAAATTGCAACGATAAAAAATGGTTATTCACTGCTTGACGTTTGGCAATTAGGGAAATGGACACAACTAGTTCACCCCATGTCAGTATAATGAGACCGGGAAGTATGCTGCGCTGGGTGCCTTTTGCATGGTATTTCAGTGAGATAACGCCCTTAAGTTAGCATCAGATCCGCGCTATCGCAACGAGGCAATCACATCATAAACAGATTAGTTTACACTATTTAGGTGACGAACTTGTTAAAAATATCCTATCATCTGTATTATCTTTTACAATATTGTCATGATTTAAAAAAACGACACCTGGACAAGGTTCATTTTTTATATAGGTTATGTATGCCACAACTCCTCGTCTTTCTTCTTTCCCAACATCAAGTGATTATCATTTACTTTAGTTTGTCAGGGTCAATTCTTTGAAAACAACGATTAGTCCATCATCCCAGTAAGCAATAGGTCAAATTTCATAGTTTTAGGTATTATGGTTTTTAACAGAACACATTTAAAGTATTTTAGACAAACTTGATCACTCTGACCTTGCATGAAATAACGGTTATTCATTTAAAAACTTTACGTAACTTGCCCTTTATATCAGCAAGCTATCGGCATAACGGCATGACCAATCGTCTCTAGTTTAATCTGAAGTTTGTTTAAATGTTTAATTACATTTGAATCATTTAACATTGACGGCTGTTAAAGGTCATTCTTTTAATCAACTTTAAAGCTCGTCATACATCATGTTACAGACCAATATTATTAACCTATGCCTCTTGGATATTTGGAAGAAGTTTCGGCGAGACGGTGGCCACCTCATGCTAAGCTGACATGCCCATGCAAATGGTACACTGATCGTTAACATTCATTTCATTTAAAATGCTTGTGCTACTTGAGTATCTTCCCAAATCTTAAAATTATATTAATGTTGTTATGCATACATATTTAGCAGTTATACAAAAATACAGACAACCAATAAGTTACAGTATCCCTTTTTGGAAACATCATATCTGTTTTGTAAATTTACCTCTTTGATTCATTCGCAATTGTATGGCCTTGATCCGCTCCATCACTTTCTCGGGGATGACATCCACAGTACTACCATCCAGAACAAATGCCACACAGTGGATTCGTTCGGACAAATTCGGGTTCTTCACAAACCCAAGTGCGTCGGTTGACAGTGGAACAGCAGGGTTAAACTGGTAGAAATACACATGCGTACATAGTGAATAACTCTTAAACCCATTCTGAGTGCTTAATTGAATGTATATTATAAGAAAAGTGCATCTCAAATGTTCTTAAACCATTTTCGATTCTTAACTTTAAGAATAATGTAAACTTTCAACAGATTCTTAAATCTTCCTCCTCGAATTTTAGGCTGAGAACCGGTTAAATATTTGAGAATGGTAAGGAGCATGCTTATATATTTAAGTACGTGCTTGAATGTACAAAATGGCCAACTTACAGCAAATTACTAATAGGGTCTTTTATATGTGGTTAAGAGGGAAATGAACATTTTAACAAAGGGTTTAGAATTAGGATTTAGAATTAGGCAGGTTCCGACCCCATCCGAGTGTACAATTCCCATATTATATATATTCCAAATATACAAAATAAAACGCTCTTTTCCTTACACATCTTTCCCGCAATTTCCGCGAAGGAAATATTGTGAATGCAACGATTGATGTCATATCATTTCTAGAAAATGTTCCATTTCAGACTAGGGGAGCTTATTTATGGAAACCTATTGGTGAAAATTAAAAACTATATTTGTTTTAATATGTTTACCATCACGTTACAACCTGTTAATCTCATTAAATACATTAGTTATCTCATTTAATATGAGATCACTGTTGTGTTTTAATCAGATAATTACCGTATTTTGCCGAGATAAGCATTGTGTTTTCAGGGGATACCCAACGTGTTATCGCTTTTAAATGAATTGAAATAACCAAAGCGTTTTAACATGATAGTAAACAAGTTAAATTAAGATTATTTGTTTTTCAAATTTAACCTGATAAGCTTCTGTACCAGACTTTTAAGTTTTAGTATGGAACGCTTTTACACCTTCCGCGGTAAGATAGGGTGGTGTGCAGGATAAGGGAGATGTGTTCCGTACATGTACGTACATGTTATTTACCTTTTTCATCGCTCTATTGACTTCATATCTGTACAACTTATTGAAATTTCAAATTTTGATCAAGTGCATGTTTGAGAATGCCTTAAAGCAGTTTGCGTTTCAAAGTCCTCCACTACTCTATTATCAGGGATTTATATATAAATATAACATATGTAGCTGTACCTTTGTGTAGAAAAACTATCAGTCATCGCTCTATTAAAACTACGTACATTTTAAATACATTAGGGTCAAGATGACCGTCTTTTTCTGCTTTAGGATTTAATCGCAGTTAAGGATAATAATTAAATATTTTATGTTGATATCAAGCATTCAATGATATGTCTAATATAAAGATAAAACTGGTGTCGTCTTTTATTAATCTCCAATTGTGCTTGAAAAGGTAAGCATGGTTTTCAATGCTTGTATATACAGCAAAATAGTGCAGGATTGTTTATCCTAGTTTTTTATTGATTAAAGTGTTCCAATTAGGGCTACTATGTATCAACAATCAAATTCTTAGTTAAGTTCGTTCTCAAATATTTCAGAACGCCTTTCAGATCCACCATTTAAGAACTTATCAGCTAAGTATGTACTTAGCGTAGGAATTTAAAGTTAAGAATTGAGAATTAAAGATGTTTCGAGATTCCGGGGCCTGGTTTCCAGTTTTTACTTGGTGGCCGACATGTTGCAGCCTGCTAGGCATGCTGTCATCAGGCTATTTAATGATTGTATTTTACCCCTATGACCTTACAATTTGGTTAAGGTTATTCATTTGAACACACTTGTAGTCCGTACATTCCCCAATGCCTCTTGACTATTCAGAAGAAATTGTCTTAGCTGTAACACATTGGACCCGATTGACTATGATTATAAGAAAAGTTATTTTCTTTATGCAAATTTTGTAGCTTTCCATGCTAGCAAGTGTTACTAGCCAAATGTTTTGACTCTAGGCCTTAGTTCTTTCTATGTTAGTTAATCTTTGTAAAAAGGACCCCGTAACCTTGAACATAAATGAAGATTATTTCGTTAAACCAACTGTTTAGTACTCCATGCCGTTAAAGTATTGGAAGCCATTTCAGCATTTAAATAAAGTTGATCACTTTGTCCTAATTCAAAATAATTTATTTTCAATAATTGTCTTTGCACTCAACGCCAGAAAGTTAGTAACCAAATATTACCAATCTAGCTCCTTCTGTTCTAACGTTTAAAGTTTGAGGACTTTAGTAAGAGACGGGACCATTTCATTTCGCAAATGCTACCTGCCAAACGCGATGACTTTGTGCTGTTTGGTTCTAAAAAACAGAAAAGCGATATAAACAGTTTGATTTTCAATATTGGTCATTGCTGTTTACAAACTTATTGTCTGAAATCCCATTTCACATTTTGACTACTGGGACTTTAAAATGTAGTCAAAGTATATTTTGCAGAATTTGTCAAGCTTTATAGCAGGAAGCCACTAGCAAATAAAAAGCCCCAACGCCAAAGGTATTTAACAAGAAGACGTTTTACGAACCAAATCAAATGCTCAAACGTCAAGCTTCATTTTGTGAAGCATTACTAATTGTAATAAACCGCTTCTTGTATATGCCTCAAATGAAATCAACATTTCGGCAGAGGTAGGAGAATCAAATGAATGCATGTACACTGAATATTTTTAAAGCAATAATCAAATATCTTTGGGCGTTTTTTCTGTTATTTTTCTAATTTCGTAATGAAACTACTCGTAATAATACTTTCCACCACCCATAAATTGAATTTTACTTATATCTATGTGTATTGCACCTTTCTGATAAAACTTCAGACCTATGATGTATTGATCGATCATGCATATTATTTAAAGACCAGGGGAACCTTCAAACCATATCAAAGTTTAAAAAAAATCAAATATTTCTGTCAATTGTTTAAAAAAAACGCGATAGCAAATTTCATTTTAAAATCCAAGATGTCGGTCTTGCAGCCATTTTGGTCCTCCGATCAGTTTCGAAATGCACTATGTAGATGCACAAAAGGGAACCAACGCATGACAGCTGTGAGGAAAAAACGAAATCTGTCAAAATAAAAAAGAAACGAATGGCTTGTAACATATTAACCCCAGGAACAAACACAGGTAATTGTCTGTACAAAGACACATACACACTCACCTTGTACTTGTCTGGTACGTGACCCTCAAGTAGATAACCAATCTCATGATCATCAAGACCTTGGTCCTCTTCAAGGCCACGTGTGTCGCATAACCGAAAGTTGAGAGGTTTTCCAGCATATCCGTCCCTTACTTGATATGTCCTATACTAAACGTTGCAAAATAGAGAGAGAAAAACAATAATTACGCTTTCTCAAGTTTATTTTGAATCAGCAAATACAGAGAATTCAGCAAGAACCAGTACCTTAACGAGAACATGACCCAATTTCTAGATCAACTTGAGCCAGATCATAATATTGATAGTTCAGTCACCTCATAATTTATCAAGCCAGTATAGTTTTACATAAGTCAATACATGTGTTAAGTTTTACCTGAGGTTGTATACGGTTTCATGTGAATCAGTTCATAGTTTCAGGTGCAAACACCTGCTTGTGTGTTACCTTCATCTTCAAGATACATTTGTACAAGGTGGTAGATTCTGCTGGTGGATTTCTTAGTCCCTGGAGTTTGCCATTTGATAGCCACATTGACTGTTTTTCTTTTTTCAACAGCAGTTTAGACCTATTGGAATTCAAACACGTTTTGGCCCCTACTATTACCGATGACTCTAAAAGAACGAAACAGCTGCATGATGCAGTGTCATTCATGTTTGGCATCTGTAAATATTACCAAACTTTTGTAATCACAAGTGTGTGTGTTTTACGTTCATTTTTCACTTGAGTAAGTACCTAGTTTTAATGTAGTAAAAGGTTTTATGTAAATCAGTTCAAGTTCATCTATGCCATTGCATACTTTCATGAAATCCAGTTCATAAGTTTATAGTAGTTTCTAGTTTCACGTTAGCCAGTTCACAGTTTCGTTTGATCCACTACAATTCAAGAGGCGAAGATGGCCCTTAGCTAACCTGGATGTGTAAGCAATTATGATAAACAGCTCATCAGAAGTAATCCTGCTAATCCTGCTGACCACATCTATAAAGATATCACTTGTTTAATGGAACTGATTTTAAAGCACCCTATTGTATCAAAGCTAAACGTTTATATAGAGACAAATTACAATGATTGACCACTTCTTGGACTTCTCTTGAAGATGACCTATAAAACAGGTCTGATTGTAGTGTACTACAAACATTTTCCTATTTTTGGTTCGCCTCTCAGCACTGAAGGAGACGACACTTTCCATTATCAAAAAACCGTGTGCCCTAATTACAGGGAAGCCTCCTAACCAGTGTGATTACAATATGCTCAATTTACTGAACACGAAGAGTAGGTTCTTAAAGACTTAAACATCTGCAAGTTACTCCTTTTTGAATATAACATCTAAGCCCTCAACAAAATTAATACTTTCTGAATTCAAAACTCGACCACTTGGTCCGTATGATCAATGGTGCTTAATGATAAGTTTGGTTGTGATCAATATGAATATACTTATGTATAAATTGAGGGTCAAAACAGTTCAACAGGGATCCATAGGACAACCATTGTAACAAATGTACGTATATAAGGTTATGGAATAGGGATCCAATTATATCTGTGTAATTACTCAGAAAATCAAACCTCTGTGGCAGGACTGGGCCCATTGGCAAATGCTGTTAGCATGAGTTCATACATTCCATCATGCCTAGCAATTTCAATATGGCGTTAAGGTGCGGATTTCCATATTGGATATGTTTTGACTCAGAAACTCTAGAAGACGGACCTTAGGATAAATCCTGATTTAGATGATATATTGATTTGTTTGCCACTTTGTGCCCATCGACGATATATGCAGTTTCAGACTAAGTCCATCAGAAGGGTGAACCCCAGCTCAAATTCGTTTTGTATGCCCACTTTGAATGTATGTGGTTATATAATTGGATCCCAGTGGTACAGCCCTATATTATCCGAAATCCCCCAATTCAAGGGCACTATATCCCACCTACCTCAAAGGTCATACCGACTATATGAATGCAAAATTATAATCACTTTGCTGAAAGGATATTTCAAACTCTCCGGCACGCCCCTTTATCTATACAAGATTGAATCTCATTGAACTTATGATCATGCCAACCAAACTTAGTTCAAATCTTATGTCTTATTCAGGAGAAGGCTTTTAAATGTAGACTTGATGGAGAGATGACGAGGTGAGATGGGTTTATAGACAATGAATACCACGCAATGACATGGCATTCTTGTGAAATATACGCCTCGGATTGGCATTTTTGTATGTTATAACTATCAAAATATTTTATTGGGCACTATCACTCATACTTATGACTTGATACAGGTTCAGCTGTTTAAACATCCTTGGAACGTTGACATGTTTCAAGTCATTTCTTCTGTCTTACTTCATTTTGTATCACCATATGCCTTATTACGGTCCCTACAGATATGCTGAATCGTTTTCTTTAGTAACCTTTTCACATGAAACATTGAAAACATGGAACTGATCTGCTGATCCAATTGTTTCATAAAAAATATAATAAATAAAAAATAAATAGAAGTGGCCTAGTCTTTGACGTCATGATGCAGATTCAAAAGAATGTTACACATGTTTTGGTTTGCTATTTAATGTTATACTTACAGATGTTGTAAGACTATGTTCAGCGCTTCCAGCGTTGGCCTGGGCGCTTATGTGTCCCCGGAAGATGGAGTTGATGGTGTTGAAGTAGCTAGACTTCCCTGCCCCGACCTGACCAACCAACAGGATCCTCGCCTGCTGGAGGTCCAATCCGGGTAACGGTTTATAGGTGGCCACCTTGTTCTTTACCTCTTCCTCAAACTGTATACCAAGAAACTAGATTAATTAGAGATCTTATTATCTGAATTGTTTTGTTTCTTAGAAAGCAGCGATGCTACTCACATCCCGTTAATGTATCTGTTTTGGAGATAAAACAAATTACACCATGGTCACATATAATCACCCATGCTCATTTAACTGACCACGAGCAACCACCATGGTGACACCTGACATGACCATACTCCATCATACTTGCCAAAATTGAAACGATTCTACAAAGCCTCATCATAAACTGAATGTCGTCAAAAGAAGTCCGAGAATTCTTATCCCACTTTGAATATAGAATGAACCAATCAATGCCTTATGAAGCCGATATATACAAATGGCTATAACCCAGTGAGCGATAGGCTTACAATGATACTTTGGAAGAAGGCATACATTATTGTGTAAAGTTTTAGAAGGCATTTCAATTTAAGATAATTGCATCAACACAGACTATGGCAGCAGTGATTTGTGTGACACAAGATTTGAAAAAAAATCATCTGTTAATGCAGTAAGCACCAAAGCTAGCCCCATTACAACTGACAGCTAGTACAGGTTGCTCATTTATAAAAAAACAACCTGATATATATGTGTATTTAGATATACTTTACAGTCAGCTTTTGTTGTTCTTTTTTTCCCCCTGATTAGTCTCAAAATAAAATATGCACAACCGATGTCGAAGGGAATATTGTAACATACATATGAAATTTAAAAAATTTTATTCTGTCAGACACATTTTGTGAAATATTGATACCATCTCGAGCTGTCAGAATAAAAGATTACGGCCTTGTTGTCATACTGTTTTTCAAAACAGTCTCATAAAGAAACATGCTCAACTACCAATCAAGGATAACCTTCATGAAAGATCTGTTATACGTCTTGAGAAAAAGAAGTATTAATCTTGATCTATTACAATCCAAGATGGCTGCCTGGCGGCCATCTCGATTTCCTGTTTAGTCTAAAAGAAAACAAAATGCACAAATATTGAACAACGGAAACCTTTATATGAAATTTGAGAGATATCTGTCCAATGCATTGTGAAAAGATGAACGACTACGGACGGAGAACAATTTGATTATGAACAGCACTCTAAAGATGAAGGACTATAAAGATATGTATGTGAAAGTATTCAAATGTAAGTTAGACCATATTTAAATCATGGTTTTGTTGCAATTTGGTTGTCCATTTATAGTAACTGACCGACTATAATTGACCATGGTTAAACCCTCTTTGGCCGTACTTTTCACTCTGTGTAGGAAAACACGCATTATTTACTTTATGGTCTACTAAACTATGTAACATGGACATCTTTGATACTAGACAGATTGCGGTCACTTATGCTGGAATATGTCATAGCAAAATTGAATGCGCAATAAAGTTATTTGATTTTGGTGAAGGCGACACCCGACTACACAGCTAGTTTTACCGGTATGCGATCGCGAGATCTTTTGAAGTACATCAAAGGATCAAACTTATCTTCTTGTCTCATCCACACAGTGCCAAGTTAATAGCTTTCAATTTCGTCATGACATATTCCAGGGGTGCAGAGAAAGGAAGTGAGTATCGCGAATGCTGAAAAGAGTACTTTACGTATGACGCATGACTTATCATAATACCTGTACTATAATGTTCAAAGTAATATAATTTTCACCATTTCACAATATTTACTCTACTGAAATGCTTGTTTTTCTATGATTGATATAGATGCCTAATTAATCGGTTATCATTATCAATCTAAAAAATAACAACAAAAAAGTGAAATACAGCGATACATCTAAACAGTTTAAAACGTAAATACTGTTATACATTACAGTTATACAAATACTGCTATACAAATATATGTATACATTACAGACCTTACGACTCCAGTCCACATTCCGAATCCACGGCTTTTGTAGCAGCTCCTGTTCTGTAAGTAGTCAGATGGAGAGATAATATTGACATGAGCATAAGCCATGTACTTCTTTAAAAAATATTATTGTTGGACAGACAGACAGACAGCTTCAAAACATATATTATGTCATTTCAAATATTACTGTTACGCAAACCCAACATTCATACTTAACCCTGGTACTTACATTCTAAAATGCATTTTTATATCATAACGTACATGTATATCATTTATGCGTCAAAAATTCATTTTTTCACTGAATCACTTTGTTTTGGCTGATTTACTTTATAAACATTGAAAACCATAGTTTATTTTACCAGCCATTTGGAGGATCTAGAACAGCCACTATCAAGAATACCTCAATTACATAGCTTTGATGCAATGAGTAGACGTTTGCAAGCATTTAACATTCAAAATCAGTATTAATGGATGTGCCCCGTGTTACCTTCGATACTGTAGACCTCGAGGTCCAGAACCTGTAAGTGACCATTCATCACAGAGTTGTAGTTCTGCCCTTGTACGTCATAGGTTCCTCCGAATGCGTTGGTGTTACCATTTAAAGGAAAATTATTTCCGGATTTGTTCACTGTAGCAGAAAAAGAATGAAGGTCATGTCCGCCAAATGTTGGACCATAACTCGCATCCCCATAGATTGCGCTTGTTCCGCCTGTTTTGTTGGGAAACTTCATTGGCTGTGCTGTACCGTTATACTCTAGTTTAAACAGAAACGCTTTAGCGTCGACGCTATAGGCACCATTAGAATGCCAGCTGACAGCAGTGTAAGCCCCGTATACCGACTTGTCAGTATTGTACAGGACGGTGACTGTCGGCCCCTTGTTGTCACAAAGACTATGGAAGGTTGGAGCTACACATCCATCACGGCTGATCTTGTACAGTAAGGTAAACTTGTGGTTCTTAGTGGAATCAATCCATTTAGAAAGTTGATCCTTGTGGGCTTGTGTGAGCTCTGTCGCCATTTTGTTTACTTGAAAGAAAAATGATATATATATATATTCAGAAATATTTTATACCTTGGTGAATCTTTCTATGCTCAATGTTCTAAATATGTTCTGTTAAATTTATGTATATGACCTTAATGATATTATTTTATGATATGAATATAATTAATGTATTTATACTGAATCACTGATTATCATATTTCTAACTGCTGTATCTCATGTATATGCTATATGATTCCATGATAAAACGAATACATTTTAGCAAAGATAAGGTTGACTTATAGGCTAATATTTTAGATGAATTATGTGATGATTTACTGATGTATGATTGCATGCAACTCGTCTCTAATACACTGTTATTCAATAGCAATAGGCTCATTTTATAGTGTTGAGAAATATGTTTTAAAATGTGTGTATTTTAATGACGATTTATGTATTTATGTATGTACTATTCAATGAGTTGAGACGTAAATAAATAAGTAAATTTAAATGGCAGTTTTCAGGATATGCAAAACAAATAAATATATTCAACCCATAGTTTGCAGGGCTAGACAATCCTGGATATGAAGGCCTAGTGCCTGTCGAGTTGGTTTTGTGACCAGGTAAAAATTTGTTTCTCCGGATCCCTTCCTGATTAGTCAGTGTAAATCAGTCAACTTATTTTTCATTATGTTTTTTTTTACATATTTTAAAAATATATAACTGATGGAAGACAATCATTGTCATATTGGAATTCCCTCGGTGTCTCTGTGTTTACAGTTATTAAAAAGTATGAAAACGTTCAGTTTGGTAGATAAGTTGAATTACTTGAACATGATTTATTAACAATGAATAAATTGTTGATTGTAAGGATTATAAAATAGAGAAGTATTTGGCACAGTTATGTCGAATTTACTGATAGAGGGGTGTTTTTTTAGCTAATAGTCTGTTAGTTTCCTTTTTCTAATTTACATGTAGACTGCAACGACTATATTTATGTTTGTCGTCTGTTATGTTATAGCGTGTGACATGTCCCTGTGGTTGTCTCTAATTACCTATATGTAGCTTGCTCGACCCAATGCTCTCATACAATATTTCACCCGTTCTCGTAAAAGTGTTATACATGTACATGTAATGGGTTCATAAATTGTCATTACACACCAGCCACATAAACAGTTCCTGTTTTGTTACGATACCGTGATCATACAGGTGACCCTAAACATTGACAAATCGACTTAAGATTGTGAAATACACAGTTTGATCGTAAAAGCTTACATGGACACGCATTTAGAAATAAATTTAGTCAAAACAATTTTTGAAATGTCAGTCAATAAGAAATATGACTTCTCCTCTTTAATCAATCATATACACATCCATTACAACTCAATAAGCTATTCAGCAATATTTGACTGGAGCTCATCCTTTACACTAACTCTTACACCAGGTCTGACAGTGATACTAATTTGTTCAGACTTCTTTAGTTTTAATTGTTGTATCACGTTTGGTTATATAAATATGTGTGCATGAATAAGAATGTTGTCGTAATGATATTGAATGCTTGGGTTTTTCCAAAACCTACTGGTTTACAAAATTCCGGTTTGGTTTTCTGAGAAATGTATTAAAAGAAAGTAAAAGTACATGCTTGTTTTCTATTTAAAACCCCAACCAAACCCGGCCATAATGAACTGGATTGCTAAAAACCTGAGTAGGTGTTATGTACACTTGTACATGCACACATTTTTAGAAAACAAAACTACATTCATACTTTTCATCTTAATGTATGTACCAATGAAACCTTTTATGTCCATACTATTTGTATGTATAGAAATGTGATCAGCCTGCCTGATGAAGGTATAGCTGTATACTGTAGCTGAGATGTAAAAATGCAATTCTGCTTGTAACTATCTCCTTTTCAATATAAAATATCTAGTTTTATGTGTCGGACGTGTAGTGATGGGGTGTATATGGGGTTTGTGAAGGGGGATGTGTAGGGTGTGTGTGTGTGTGTGTGTGTGTGTGTGTGTGTGTGTGTGTGTGTGTGTGTGTGTGTGTGTGTGTGTTAAACTTAAACCACAACTGAAGTTAAAGGTGTATGATTTGACATTAGCACAAGTAGCATTTCCATTTTTATGACTCTTAAATAATGCAAATAATAAACATTATAATATGAGATCTATCAAGGAAACGATCTGAATTCTAAACAACCGACATCCGCCCCTTCACAATGTACAAAGTCCTCGCTACTCGAGTCATCTCCTGATCGCTGTAGGCCTGCATTTGTAAACAATCTAACATTTAATATAATTGGCTGCACACAGCAAATAATCACACAAGAAAACATCATTTGAAAACAACATTGATGATAAAATAAATGCTAAATGCATACTTACTTCCCGTGTTAGCTCTAACAAATAATGACGATCCTCCTGATCGGTATTTCCCTAATTTCGTGGAAAGCCAAAACCGAAAGTAAAACCGGATAACAATGAATCACCGAAACAGAGCGTACGTGAATCGACACGAACTGAATGATATTGATAAAGAAGGAACGAGAGGAATTTTAGTATACAAGATACCAGAGTTTATTACTTAAGTTATTTAAACGTTATCAGCGTGTAGAAATCGGTCACTCTAAGGCTAGTAACACAAAGGGAAACAACTCTATCTTCCTTAAGCCGAAAAGCGATTTCATAACAGATTTTCATCAAAGTTTATGCGAAGGTCATGCAAGAAAACCTTACATGAGTTCGTAAGGTACCAAGGTCAACGCCACAGTCACTGTTGCTATTTATACAGTAAGTCATCTGGATCAAAGCCATTAATTGCTACATGTGCTATTGATAGCAAATTTTCAAAAAATTAAACGAGTTTGAAAGTGCCAAGCTGGAATACATTATTTATCTTACAGATATTTTTTCTGTTTTCGGGGTTATATCGTATTTATCGAAAAATCCCACTTTTGCACTTTGCATAAATCCGCCAATAAAAACTTTGATTTGAACTAAAGGTATATAATATTTCCCTTCTTATTACAATTAAATACATTAATCGTTCAGCTGTTAATTACGTCGTTCAGTTTTGCATATAATTATAAATTTAGTTCGTAATAATTTCTCAACTCCTCTCAGAGGTATAAATATAAGTATGGTAAATATTCCACGAGTTAAAAAATCATTTAAAGTCGTATTAACCTACCAAATTCAGGTGGCATTAATTTAGACTGTAAATCCAATGGCTCACGTGTTGACGTCATCATTTATATGACGTAATAACCGTAAAGTTTGAAACTGATGACACTCATTAGAACAGGGGTGTACTATTCATTGAACAAGGATATACAATACCTTCACCATTTTGAACTATATGCGGTATTTTTATACAAATATTTTAATTAATTTATGATATTAAAATACTAAAAAAGGGAGTAAATATACGTATTGAACTGTGTTGATATGGTAATATTATTTTATACAAATGATATAGTTTTGCCAACAAAACAATCTTCATGTGCGCTACAACGCTGTTTCAGTCATTTAGACTGTAAATGCCATATCAACAAAGTTATGTGCTAAATTGTATAGACAACATTAATTTTTAATAAATTCTGGATCATACTTGTGTTTGGTTCATTATTTGTTAGATATCTTGTGGCCGGTTCTTGGTCGTTGCAAGCAAATGTTTACACGCTGACGTACATATTAATATACATTGTGAAGTAAACGGCATATGGTACAATTTAGACTCACGTATTTTGGTTCAAATATAATGTTATTCCCCCAGTTCTATCGCAAGGGATACAGAACTCCTTGGTTTTAAATTTGCCACTGCTATGTTAAAGGACGAGAATCCCTCAAAGTAAGCATGCTTATTTTATAACATTTCAACAATAAAATATTTCAACTTTATGATAGCGAAATGTTTTATATCAGAGAATATGATATACATGTACACTGCACACAGAGTGTAATGTACTCGAGTGGCGGAACATATGAATATATTTTGAAGTAATTGGAACATGTATTCTGCGACGTAAATGCTACAGCAAATACAAAAATCGGAATGGCTCGAGTGAAATATGGTACATCGTATACGTGTTTATTATATATCCTATCGGTATGTTTTGAATATTTTTTCTTGAATGCAAGCTACATATTATGAAAACGCCTGTAAAACTATCAATAATAAGGTTGTACTGTAAAGTACAGTACTAGTACATAAACATGTACGTAATGAAAAAACGCATCTGGATTTACCTGTGTTAGTTATTTCTGTTTTGTGTGGAAATTGCACACCTCCTTCACGATTGACCAGTGATACCAAACATTTAGCGGTTTTCTGGTAATTTACAGGTACAAGTAACTGATCCCAAGTAAGGCTGCTTTAGATACATTTCATCTGATTTAAAGTACGTACATGATTTTTTTGTTTGTTTAATTAATGATAACTGGTAGCTAGGCCTGGTAAATTTCATAACCAAAGGATGCTTTAAAATTAAATTATTAAATTAAATAATTGATACTTTGTCAAAATAAATATCATTGGTCGTAATGTCATTATAATATGTCATAAAAATTACTGGTAATTACTGACCTGCTGGACAAGACAACGACACTAAAGTTAATCGTGTAACATGTACATTTATGTACATGCGGTGCTGAAGTATTAAAATCTGAAATAGTGACCCCCCCCCCCCCCCCCCCACCCCCTATCCGCCCCTGATGATGTGAACGTAAAGCTACAGTACACACGATTACGCGGTCGTTAAAAGCAATTTTAGTAGGCGATGTGACCGTTACCGTTAGATAAATAGATAAGCGTGTTTAATCTACCTGAAATATGGCAACATACTTATCCATAAAACAAGAATATCAAGAAGGTCATAAGACTCCATTTCATTACTATTGTAGGTATGACGTTATATGAAAATTCTACGTTATCGTCTACTGACAGTTTTTAACTTTCTGTTTATTATCATGCATGTAAGCCCTACTGACAGTTTTTAACTTTCTGTTTATTATCATGCATGTCAGCCTTACTGAGAGTTAAGATGAGCATTCACAAAGTTGCTTTGAATTTTGAGACAAATATAACTAATTCTGAAAGTCATCATATTGAATGCACTATTTAAACATTGTTTGAAAGTATGTTGGAGTCATTATTAAAGAGAAATCATTTTCCTATCAAATAAATTGTGGTTATGAATTTGTTGGTATAGAGCAGCATGCTGATTGTATTTTATTATTTAGACAGTAGAGGTTATTAACACGATGGAAATATATTCTCCTTGATCACACTCCAATAGTTAACTTAAAAAGAAGTTGATTAATGTTTATCAATATGTGCCGCTCAAAAAGATTAGTGATACCCCTATTAAGCCTCCACAAATTTCGTCGACAGCGCAGACCATGACCAACTTGCCTTAATTATTTGTGATTATTGTAATTGATTGGTTTTAAAATTATATTGTATTATCCTGCAACTAAAAGTGTATAAAAAGGGAACACAAGGTGTAAAATCTGACACACGTGTCTGTGTTTACATTAACTTCGGAATCTATTTTAGTTTTGACGGAGAGAAAACAAAATTGTCACGTGACAGATCATGTGATCAAATTGGCAATCTTCGAGATAAACGATATACAAACACCAGCCGAGATTTTCAATTTCGAAAGAAATGTTAATATACAACAAAGTTGACGGAATAGCTACGCATGTTTCTTTATTTTCAGTCTATTTAACCATTTAGAGCACCGATTTCCTGTTTCCTAGGTATGAAATATACGGCAATAGTCCCTTTATAAGCTGCACTATGACCTCATCTGCTGTGTTGTATATATGTTTTCCCTGCTGACTAACTTGAATAAGACTTTACCCCCGTCACCATTGTCACCTCAGTCACCTCAATATTGGTATCCACGAATTGTACTGGCTGCATTACCATCTTGATGCATTGTAAGACATTTAAGTACATGTAGATAAGAAACTTAGCTTCTCAGTTTAATAAATATTTCTTTAAATGTGACACAACCTTGTTTGCATACCTTATCACAAAATCAACGTATAACAAAGATCAGCATAAAAGTTGACAATGTCATAGATCGAATACGCTTTTAAATTCAATCAATATGATGTTTTTTATATCTTTTAAAAAATGAACGTTATACCATCGGGTAAAAAATAAGCCACCAACATCGAAGGCCATCAATATCGATGTGTAAGGTTTAATCATATATGTCGTTGAAAAGTGTAGCATTTACAACATAAGTTGATATCTAGGTTCATATGTACAGTGTTGATACATGAAGATGTAGAAAATAGAGAGCATCGTCTACACGTGTCACTGGATGAAACACATTTGTTATCATCAAATGAGTAGCCATTGATTCTGTTAAAACTTACAAATTTGATTAATCCATAGCCTGTCATTTAAGGTATTTTGAAAGTGTTTTTTTCACAAGAAAAAATAAATAAACGGATGCTTTTAGAAAATCGTTTTTAGTTCAACAGCTATTATCTTGAAAGCTTGATTTACCTAAAAACAAATGATACTAACTATACCATAGGTCCTCTATGTACTAGGTCTAGTCACTAACTTTCAAGCGTTTCATTTTTTCAGCTGCGATCTCATCAGATTTGTTGAACAGAAAGTCGTCGACAAAATTAAGAATTCGTCTGAGACTGAGGAGTGCCAGAATGTTTATGTTCTGATCAAGCTCTACCTCACATTCGTAGTTTTTGACAGGAAGAATGTGTGACCGGGGCAGACCCATCAACGAAGCAACCTTGTCTACGCACTCTTTTACCACTGTGCTGAAAAAGACATTGCTGAGGTCTTCTGAAGTCTCCTCACATATTTCATCGATTTTAGTCAGCAATACCACTTGGGGTATACCTGTGAAGGAAAGAATGGAATTTACAAACTACTCATAACGGAACAGAATTGATTCAATCTTACATCAGAAACTCACTTATTGGAATATAACAACACCTTTCTTAATAAAGCCATAGCTGAAATATATAATAGGGACAGATCTTTATGAAACGAGGTGATCTTTTTGGATCAAACAGTTCTATCATAAAAGAATGAGGGGGTTAAGTTTAAGAAAAAAATGGTATCTTGTTTAGAGTTTAGATATATATATATATATATATACTACATGTAGTTACAACTCTATGTATTGTGTTTGATAATCTGTTTCATGAAATCTAAAAATAAAGAATGTGAGCACGGCAGCGCAAATTTAATAATGGCATGGGCACGTCAGCGCAAATTTAATAATGACATCTGTTTTTACAAATTTATGATTACACTAAGTAGCGGGATGGAAGTATTCTGTGCCTTTCTTTGTTTCCTTTCGCTAGTTTTGTACTACATTGTAGTTATATGTCAGCAGATCATATTGAATTTTTACCAGAACTTAAATGAAACTGCTTTTAGTGCAAGATGCATAAAGCAAGATGCAACACATTCGGCTTATTTATCTATTTGTTTAAACCAGCAAAAAATATATTTATTTACTTGATGGTCACGTGCCTGACAGGTATCAGGTATGTGTTTAAATTACTTACTATGTCTTGCCTTTTCCTTGTAAGCAAAAATATAATCATTAATTCAATTTTACTTGTCTTTTATATATTGAATGATTAATGGAAGATAAAACACGTGAACCCCGTCCCATTTTTTTTTATCAACATTACCTATTCAACTTCAACACTCTTTCAAGAAGCTCAGTTAGTATCCCATTCTCCAAAAATATAAGTCAACCTTGGAAAATTATTTGATTTCATTGAAAAAAACATTGATTGAGTTTTTTGTAGTAATTACCAAAGCGTTCATGTTTCCATCCCTGTTTATTGTCACATTAGACTGTATCCATTCCAGTTTATTGTCATTATATACTGTATCCATTCCTGTTTATTGTCACTATATACTGTATCCATTCCTGATTATTGTCACTATATACTGTATCCATTCCTGTTTATCGTCACTATACACTGTATCCATTCCTGTTTATTGTCACTATACACTGTATCCATTCCTGTTAACGTCACTATACACTGTATCAATTCCGGTTTATTTTCACTTTACATTGTATCCATTTCTTTTTATGGTCATTATACACTGTATCCATTCCTGATTATTGTCACTATATACTGTTTCCATTCCTGTTTATCGTCACTATACACTGTATTCATTCCGGTTTATTTTCACTTTACACTGTATCCATTCCTTTTTATGGTCATTATACACTGTATCCATTCCTGATTATTGTCACTATATACTGTATCCATTCCTGTTTATTGTCACTATACACTGTATCCATTCCTGTTAACGTCACTATACACTGTATCAATTCCGGTTTATTTTCACTTTACACTGTATCCATTCCTTTTTATGGTCATTATACACTGTATCCATTCCTGTGTATTGTCACTTTACACTGTATCCATTCCTGTGAATTGTCACTTTACACTGTATCCATTCCTGATTATTTTCACTTTACACTGTACCCATTCCTTTTTATGGTCATTATACACTTATCCATTCCTGATTATTGTCACTATATACTGTTTCCATTCCTGTTTATCGTCACTATACACTGTATTCATTCCGGTTTATTTTCACTTTACACTGTATCCATTCCTTTTTATGGTCATTATACACTGTATCCATTCCTGTGTATTGTCACTTTACACTGTATCCATTCCTGATTATTGTCACTATACATTGTATCCATTCCTGTGTATTGTCACTATATACTGTATCCATTCCTGTTTATCGTCACTATAGACTGTATCCATTCCTGTGTATTGTCACTATACACTGTATCCATTCCTGTTTATCGTTACTATATACGGTATCCATTCTTGTGTATTGTCACTATAGACTGTATCCATTCCTGTGTATGGTCACTATACACTGTATCCATTCCTGTGTATTGTCACTATATACTGTATCCATTCCTGTTTATCGTCACTATACACTGTATTCATTCCGGTTTATTTTCACTTTACACTGTTTCCATTCCTTTTTATGGTCATTATACACTGTATCCATTCCTATGTATTGTCACTTTACACTGTATCAATTCCTGATTATTGTCACTATACATTGTATCCATTCCTGTGTATTGTCACTATATACTGTATCCATTCCTGTTTATCGTTACTATACACTGTATCCATTCCTGTGTATTGTCACTTTAGACTGTATCCATTCCTTTTCATTGTCACTATACACTGTATCCATTCCTTTTTATTGTCACTATACACTGTATCCATTCCTGTGTATTGTAACTATACACTGTATCCATTCCTTTTCATTGTCACTATACACTGTATCCATTCCTTTTTATTGTCACTATACTTATATACTGTATCCATTCCTGTTTATTGTTACTATACACTGTATCCATTCCTGTGTATTGTCACTATACACTGTATCCATTTCTGTGTATTGTCACTATACACTGTATCCACTCCTGTTTATCGTTACTATACACTGTATCCATTCCTGTGTATTGTCACTTTACACTGTATCCATTCCTATTTATTGTCACTATACACTGTATCCATTCCTTTTCATTGTCACTATACACTGTATTCATTCCTACTTGTTCATCGATTTATTTAGCAATATCTCTAAAACTTTTAAATATCAACTGAATATTTATTTAATGATAATATTTGATATATATATACACATATATATACCTCATATCTTAGCAATTACATATATTGAGGAATTTGTCCTGAAATTTGACCTACGAAAAAAATGAACATAAGTAAAAATAAAAATGATGTCCTTACTGGTCCCTTTATAACCAATATCTTGAGAAAAAGTGATTGCAAAAGTGGAATCTCGAATTCAAGATGAAGCCTCTTTTCAACTCTACCTTTATTAATGCCAGGACGAATTGAACCTAAAAGGAAACCCTGTACGTGTTTTTTTTATGACCATAGCCTAGATATTAATTCTGCAAACAATTAAACTTACATATCATGGCTTACTGAAACGTTATACTCTTACCCTTCATTAATTGTCCAATGTTGATCAAATGTGGTATGTATAAAATACCATTGAACCCCTAAAAACCACTTTATGAACACTAATGACACTTCACACATGTACAGATGGGCATGCATACATGTGCTCTATGCCCCTTTCCGGTAAGATAGCAAACCTGGCTATATTCGGCTCTGATTGTCGAAATTGAGATACTATTCAAGTTCGCTCAACTATGGAATGTATTATTGCATCATATACGATTAATCATTTAGAGTTAGTTTTGAGACTCTGAAATGACCGCCGTTAAAATCATTCAAAACAGCGTTTGCATATATTTTTAAATCCGGTTCCTGATGTTTTCGAAAAAGTTCCGTGAGAAGTTTTCGATAAATTGCGGGTGTTAAATAATAACAATATTTGAATGGCATTAACCAATATATAGCGAGGAATGTGGATACTTATGTAAAATGAATTACCTCTATGGTTCATCCGCGGCTGCATTGCTTTAATCCGTTCCAGGACTTTCTCGGGAATGTCGTCAACATCACTAGCGTCCAGGACAAAAGCCACACAGTGGATTTTATCAGACTGCATTGGATTTTTCACGAATCCCAGGGCGTCAGGCTATATTGGTATAGAGGGGTTGAACTGAGGATAACATAAACAAGGGCATAATTTATACATCTATAAAACTTTGACTGTTTGCTGAACGTCATATAAATATCACTAGTTCCGAAGAATACAGATTCTAAAGAGTGCCACGTGCGAATTGAAATATTCTGTTGTTTTATCATAAAAGAGGGCGTTGCCTGATATTTCTAAAAGACGTGCAAAAATTGGAGCTTCGAACAAGTGATTTGTTTTTGTAATTTCAGGCGTTGCGAAAGCAGTGTTGAGATGATACCGTTGCACAAAATGTTTATTTTAGAAACAGGGTCAGCGGATTTAATTGAGATAGACTATCGGTACCATTTACTTGCATGCTTTCGCATCATCGGAACAGTTATTGGTCATATCTATTTCACACAGACGGGATGGTGTCTATTCTGATTAAGTAAACCTCAGACCGATATCTTCAATAGCTGTGACAACATCAATACATGATAACAACATTAGCATATGTTTACTTCTGTACGCTACCTTCCACATTATAAATCCATTAGCAAGTGTTTTAAGTGTTGGAATACTAGAAAACAGTTGAAAGATGAGGTGACGTCACTACTTTCATTTAAAAAGTACCCCGCGTAAGAATCAAGACCGTCAAATACAAATCATTATTAAATCATGAAAATATTATAAGAAAAACAATTATTTTTGAGCGTAAAAATACATCAGGAATAGCTAATGATTAGATATTTCGTTATCAAAAATAGTCATTTAAATAGATTTTAACAAATGGCAAACAGTTTGTGATGCAGTCCCTCTCGAGTTTATACACGTCTCGTAATGAGAACATTGTTCGAACGACAAACCCTGAAAACAGTGTGACGATCTACTAGTACTTTACTATTACAATGTAATAACTAGAAGCTAAATGGAAGAATATGGCCATGTAGTGGTGTTAAATGGTTAAATTTGTGGGGTTTTCAGCATCGATAAACAAAACATTTGAATGAGTGCGTTCACATTTCTTACTTTCTGGTAACTTGTTTACGTAACAAGATGGTTGGGTCTGCTTGTGGGTAGATGATTATTCCCCAAGGTTTGCAATATATACTAGTTTTAGACTATGATACATGAACTTGTTGTAGCCAAAAGTTGTTAATTATAAGTTGTAACGTTATAAGGGGTTTCATCAGCATATGTATCTGAATATATTCATACTTTATATTCATTATTTGACCTAAGGAGTCCTAAATGTACGAAATGGCTAAATGGTGCCCTGAGATATGTACTTTGCTTGGCTCTCTGTATCAAACAAATAACACTTTGACAAATATGCTTACATACTTGATGTTCCTAGTAATGATTTGATAATGCGTTGCTAACATTCCATATTATAAAATCAGGTGTTTATATATACAAAACGCTACACAATGATGTAACATATCGGTCATTCATTGTTTGTCTGGGTAGGAGAATGGGATACTAATTGAGCTTCTTGAAAGAGTGTTGAAGTTGAATAGGTAATGTTGATAAAAAAAATGGGACGGGGTTCACGTGTTTTATCTTCCATTAATCATTCAATATATAAAAGACAAGTAAAATTGAATTAATGATTATATTTTTGCTTACAAGGAAAAGGCAAGACATAATAAGTAATTTAAACACATACCTGATACCTGTCAGGCACGTGACCATCAAGTAAATAACAAATATCTTGATCATCAATACCTTGGTTCTCTTCTAGGCCACGTGTGTCGCATAACCGAAAGTTGAAAGTTTTGCTGCCATATCCGTCATGTATTTCATACATCCGGTACTAAAATTCGTGAACAAGTAAACAAAATTAAAGCCTGTATTGAGTTATGTAGTCCGGCTTTGGACAAGCATATCGCTGTCTCTATACCTGAGGCATAAACTGTGTGTGAATCAATAGAAGAGGCAAATGGGAAATATACATGTATGGCTTAACTTCAAATTGAAATGCATTTTCCAAGTGGATGTTTTGTTAAGATACCGATAATGGAATCATTTTTCCTATCGATAAAATATCTTTTTTAATGTTAAAAAGAGTACATGCTTTGTAACTGTAATTCTACATTATCCTTGGTTTAATGCTATCATTTTCACTAACGGATGTTGTAAGACTATGTTGTTCCGTAGTTCCAACGTTGGCCTGGCTGCTAATATGCCCTCGGAAGATGGAGTTGACGGTGTTGAAGTAGCTAGACTTCCCTGCCCCGACCTGACCGACCAACAGGATCCTCCTCTGCTGGAGGTCCAATCCGGGTAATGGTTTATAGGTGGCCACTTTTTCCTTTATCTCCTGCTCAAACTGAAACGAATAAAATATATCAATAACACTTAATTGATTGAAAATATAAAACACAGTGCAACACAGTAAAAATTGAATACAACGCATACTATATTATATAATGACGTAACAAACAGCACAATGGAATGATATTATAGTGAAAGGACTTTCAATAGGTAATGGTAGAATAAAAGGTGTTTAGGCTGGCTTACCTTCTGGCTCCAATCAACGTTCCGGATCCAGGGCTTTTGAAGGAGCATGCGTTCTGGAAATGTGAACAATCAAAAGGAAAGACGATATTCATAATGTTGGGAATAGTTACTTATCTTCGATTTGCAGTTATCATTTTGCAAAAATATATGCTGATCATTTTTGTATGCATAAGTAGGGTTAGTTATTATAATGTCATTTATTATTGTGATTTCTTACGAAGTATTGCTCATGTAAAAAGTGTGATTTGTGTTTGATTTGAGGAAAATAATTTAGTAACTTATTTAATCGTGTGATATTCTTCTAGATATTTGCACTGCAATTAATAAATAACAAAAATACAACGAAAAAGTCCTTGCTGTTTTGAGTTTATAAACCATTTATAATTTTATATACCATAGTCAACATATGTTCTGTTAATCGATACTGTAGTTAACGTCACGACGCCCACTTTGTGAAAACATCAAAACATGTATTCTGTAACAATTAAAGGTTTTTGATATAAAAAAAAATAAGTTCGTTCCAATTGTTTATTTTAAGATTTTTCTATAGCATGTGCAGAGTTGCAACAAATATGTACTTTGTTGTTTTTGTTAAAACATAAGCCACATACATCTATATTGTTTCTGTGGGTCATTCTGCCATGTCTTTTTCAGATTGCTCGGCAGTATGTGTAAACAACTTGCGATCATACAATTACTGAAGTATCGTATGTATTCTACACATCCTTTATATATTTTAATGCTAACATACATATCTTTAAGTAAAGGAAACCAGTTCAGTAAATGTCTCCGTATATATCACATAACCTTTGTACACGTCGAGTTGAAAAAATATATATAAAAAATATACCACGGATTCAACTAGTAGAAATGAAAACAGAACCATATCTTTAATAGAATTTAATAGGATTTTAGAGGACGCAGGCGTTGTTGGTACATGCAGATTTGACATGGAACACGAAACATGGAGTGTTTACCATTAAGCAGAAATCGGAAGATCACTTTGTTTACTTCTTATGGTTGTTTTTGTCATGGAATTTTCCTTAATGATTATAACAAATATATTATCTCACTTTCATTCCGTATCAAGAACATAAATAGGAATACATCGTTTGGAGCTATTCAAGGAATTCGTTCTTTATACATGTTTTACAAAAGAATATAAAACTGTAGAGATGGTCTACTCATCATGTTTGCTAACAATATGTATTCGCTGTTTATAAATGGTATAACAAGATAGCATAGACCCTTAAAAATTACGTTCATTCCGTAAATGTGTCCCAGTATGTCAATTTAGGCCAATACAATGTAGAAATTTCATCATTTGTACATAAAATTGTATCATATTTGTATCTGTTGGAAAAACACTATATTTGAATTAAACCTCAACAAAAACATTGGCAAATAATCATTTCATTTTTGTTTTAAATTTAATTTTATGCTTCCTGAATATATCAATCAAACTGTGTATATTTAATTATATTTCAAGCGTTGATATTGTCCGATGAGTCATAACATAACTGCTTTCTGCTACATCAGCCCGCATCCAACTCTGATATTATCACTAAGCTGTCTCTCTTCACAATATAAAAAAAATATGTTTTGGTCGTCTGTACGAAAAATAGACAAAAAAGCACACTAGAATCACTAGCAAACCAAATGGGTTAAAGGTTAAACGACTTAGTAGATTGTAGAAAGGAAATATGCCCCTGCTTTTATGCTTAGGCAGGAGTAAACGGACCATTTTTTTTGGTTTTGCAAAATTAGGTCACGATAAAATGGGGTTTCCTTATGGGTCAATCAGTCCTTGTATAGAAAAAAAAAATAGAAACAGGGCTAACTATGGTATTATGGATTGATTACAGAAAAAAACAAAACTCAAACATTTATATGGTATTTGTATAGAAATCGGACTGGTTTGATCGTCGGCGACCAGATAGGCCAATAGGTTAAAGCGTCCGACTCGAGTTTGGAGGTTCCAGCTTCTAATCCTGGTCTGGCCATGCGTTCTTCATCTTCTGTAACGGTGGTAACAGTAGCCAACCCTTGTTTCAATTATTATGTGAACATTAAGCAAGGGGATACCCGAACCTCAGTTATAAATAGCATTGTCTTCAAAAAAGAAGACTATGAAAAAAAGAAGGGAAGAATGTAGCGGAACTAGACTGGTCGCTGGCGACCTTGTAGCGCAATTTGTTACAGTGTCTGTCTTGGAGGTTCCCAGTCTGGCCGTGTTGTTGTTTTCTCAAAAATATGGTGCGACTTGCGTATTGCATCCTACCCAACTATGTACAAAACCGTATCAAAAACCATGTCACACAAGGAAATGACGTATTTCCCAGTTAGATCATGACAGTGACCGTAAAGCTTGCCCATATTCTTCATTAATATGCTAAAATTGCGACGTGTGAAAACCTTAGGCTTTGGGAGCAGGAATGATGCTATTAAAGACAGGGAAACTCGAGATAGAACATTATAATTGTTACATCAATTGAACGGCTTGGTAGTAAGCCGTCTTAGTAGGCAGTGCTGTAAGTAGAGATCAAGGTAAACGGATGAATCACATGCATTCTTAGTGTGTTTGATTTCAAGGATATAAACGATTGATGTAGTCAATACATTTGCTGCTATTTATATAGACTGCAAGTGATAAATTTACCTAAAAATTCAAACTGGAGGACTTTGCGAAATCAAGACCTGACATAGACAACATCAGTTTTTGTTTTATTATTACATTAATCAATTTTACAACTGATTGTGATGCCTTATTGTAATAGGACAACTGTAAACTCACCTTGAACACTATAAACCTCAAGATCCAGGACCTCTAAATGGCCGTTCATTACAGTGTTGTAGTCTTGTCCCTGCATGTCGTACGCATATCCTAATGTGGCAGAACCATTCAATGGGAAAATAATTCCGGATTTATTTATAGTTCCACTAAAGCAATACAAATCATATCCACTTCCAAATGTTGGCCCATAGTTGGCGTGTCCATAGATTGCTTTTTTCCCGTCCGTTTTATTGGGAAACTTCATGGAATGTGCTGTACCATTATACTTTAGTTTAAACAAAAATGCTTTTGCGTCGATGCTATAAGAACCATTTGATTGCCAGCTGACAGCAGTATACGCCCCGTAAACTGATTCACTTGTATTGTACAGGACGGTGACTGTGGGCCCTTTGTTGTCACAGAGACTATGGAAGGTCTGAGCGTTACATCCGTCACGGCTGATCTTGTACAGTAAGGTAAAATTGTGTCGTTTGGACGGGTCAATCCATGTGGAAAGTTGAACCTTATCGGGTTGTTTTAGATTGGTCGTCATTATGTTACCTACAAATAGCGTGTTTTTTATAGTTAAGGTTGAATAACTTAGATCATTTTGCTGATAGTATCAAAAGCGAAATGTAAATATTTTGATGCGCACAGGAGAGTATGTATGTGTGTTCGAAGATGAAGGACATTTAATATTGTATTTACTTTTGTACACATTGTAATGCATAATACTTTAATCAATTATTAAATTATCAATATAACTATTTTGGAAATACCTGTTATTCAATAGGTTTATTTACGAATCAATTTTGAAATATGGCGGATTGTTCAGTTATATTAACAAGATCAGTTATAGATCGTCTATCAAAGTGAAACGATTAATTGATTAAAAGGATTTTATCTGACACCTATCAGGTACAAATTGCAGAACAGTTTATACATATATGTAGCTTTGTCATATCGTGTATATACATCTAAAGAGATCGTTACAACACTGTCCCCGATGGAATGTTTTGAAAGCAGGAGATTGCCAGCAACCGTCCGACCTAAACAAGCTACATCATTTGTATAGTAAATGACCAGTATGTCATTACATATAATATGTAACTTTACACAATGTGCGCATAATGAGATACTCAATAAGATAAATTACAACCTTAATATTAGACTGGCTACCAGCCCCTAAGTTTTTATGAAGAATTTCTCGGCTGCATTTTACTACTAGCTTATCTCCCCCTGGTTTAGAACAGACATCCAAGTGATCAAATTGTTTTGAGTTAAACCTTTTTCTTAATAATTCAATATTCTAGAGACGGGGCCAGTCTACCCTTAATATATAAGGAATGGCTTGTAAATAAACACAATTTCGTATTAGTCTTTTACCTTTCGTACATGTAAACTTTATTCAAGATGGCGCGGACATCTTGAAAAAGGCTGCCATCTCATTTTACAGCTGAACTGTTGTGTAATATGCTCTCTCTAATATAAGAGAGGAAGTGCTGAATTGAGACTATTATGATGTGGAGATAAAGTAATCGACATGTAAATATATGTCCATTTTTTCTTTTTATTTGTAATATCTTATCATAGGAAGAAACATATTTGATTTGATTTGAATAGACAAGTGTGTAGATATACGGTCTGATACAATGTAAACAAAGCAGTCCTACTTGTTACCCGCTACCTGTTCATTACCAGGTAACGGGAACATGCTTTGTATCATAAGTCCACTGTGAAGGAGGTGTGAAATTTCCATACAAAGCGTTAAAGACACATTTAATACAGGTAAGTACAAATTGTGTTTTGATAACAGTCAAATAACAAATAAACTCTTACCGGCGATCAATTCCATGCAATCAATTTAGTACAGCTGCCCACGTACGTGTACTTGTACTGTACCTGACAGTACAACCCTGTTATAGACAGTTTAGCAGTCATGTATTTATGTGGATAATGTATTGAAGAATTAGAAAAAGTGAAAAATATCGTATATTAAATACTGGGCGACCGATTGTTAAATCGCACAGTTCTCAGGCTCGTATAGATTGTGATATAATAAAATAAGTTTTGTTTTAATTGATATAATAAATTATTGTACCCAACTACATGTATACAGTACAATGTATTACATCGACTTTATACCTTGGAACAAACTGTAATAATTTAAAGACGTCAGACATACCTTTTTCTAGTACGAACCAAGTGCTCACCTGTACTGTGGTAGAGTTGGGTCTGGGGCAGCGATGTTTGATATGACGCATATAACTGATAACGATTATCTTATTTATAGTTCATGTTGCTTAAAGGGTGCCAAGTTGCGGGATAGTAACGCTGTACTTCCCTTCTAGCTGAAGTATCCATTTATACGATAGAGATCGGCGGATGATATATAACCTAGACGGATGATAGTCTGGTTATACAATGTAGAATGTATCAAGACGGAAGCTTGTCCAGTTACATTATTTATCACACACCTGTTGAATTTTGTTATAGTAATACAAGCATTTTTTTATGGGAATCCCCTTGTCATGCGACTGGTATTTGCAAAAGATATCAAAGTTTATAAATTCTTTGTATCGATCTCTACCAAATACGGAAGGTATGTGATAAAAGCAAGACCACACACTTGTGTTTTTCTAACGAATCAGAAAGCACTCATTTATTGCGCGGACGTATATATTCACTCGTGCGCTCCGCGCACCCGTTAATATATTCGTCCGCGCAATAAACTCGTGCTTTCTGATTCGTTTGGTCTTGCATATGTATACAATGTATGACAATCTCTGCGACACTGGTGACAATAAAAATGTCTACAACGTCTGTTTTATCAATAAATAAACTGGTAGAGCAGACTGTATAAACTATTCTTAGCATGATTAAATGTAAAAAAACATTGCTTAGATTGTTGTATTATGTTCACCTATCGCTGTTATGCGGTCAGCGATGCCTCGTTTTTTGAAATATCGTTGATTTTTCTAGTATGTTATCATTGCCGTTGCTAATTAAGTTTACGCAATACATCCCTACATCTCTATGATTGTATCGGCTACATATGGTCTGTTGTCACTACGGTAACTGTCATGTTGTTTATACTGATCTTCTTTGAGTTTAGATAAGGCTCTCGCATCATTTTACGTTGACAGTTGAGATAAAATGTGATCACTCCCGATCATTTTGCCTAATATAGTATGACGTCATAGTAACACCATTAGTTTAATTTGTATTCAAGCACACTTAGCATGTCTGCATCTTATGGGTCGAAATCGAAATCACTAATGAATAAAGCAAATCAATCAGTGATTGAGCTTTACTCGAAATTGCTCTTTACTGTAAGTTGCATAATTGATCAACATATATATGAAACTGCCGTAGTTTTGTTAATGCTTATCAAATACATCTTTGAAATATACGAATACTCGTTTAGTCTATAGCTATTCATTTGACGTATTTTGTCAGGGACTGAGACAGCAAATCTTATCTGATCTCGTGGTTTTGGTATATGTTTTAACGATATATATTTTTAAAGAACAAGAGGCCCAATGGCCTCAGCGGTCACCTGAGTTATAGCATAGGTACTGGTAGCTTTATTTTATTGTTTAGATGTGATGTGGAAATCAACATGTAAACAAAGTAAAATACAATACTTGTCATGTCATCAAAAGATAAGAACTCTAAAAACTATTCAAATACATTATTTTGCTATTGAGAAATACAGTTGTGTGACCGCACAACGCACATCGTGCATACATCGTTCACACAACGTCCGCACATCGTCCACACATGGTGCGCACAACTGTGCGATTTAACAATCTTTCGCCCCGTTGTGCGCTTTTCTCCGCACAACTGTGCGATTTGGTACAATTTGTTGATCAATATTACGGAATGAAAAAAATACGGAAGGCTCGTACACTGTATATATTACTGTAATTTCTCATCACAATAATTAAGATTATGTACGCTTTTACAATGCGTGTTACGCAGTGTTACAGTGACCGTTAGACTGTCAAGAATGGGTTTCGCTCCTAGATAACAGAACAGGTAAATAACAATTTGATGAGTGACCGGAGTTTTACCTGGCCTGTGCCTGACACAAAGAGCTGATATGTGATACCGTATGACCGTTATGAAAACATAACTGGACGTGTAGTATTTGTTATTTGCATTCGTTTTGGTCTATAGCTCCCATTCACCTGGTTTTCACACCTTGGCGAGTTACGTAAGTGTCCCGGGTGAGGATAACTACGGTCCAGGAACAGGTACAAAGTAGCTTTGTTGACCTGTATCGCCAAGACTGTGTTGTAATTTTACATGTGTCGATTTAGGTTGTTTAAAAAACACCGAAAACACCATTTCTAAATTTAAGAAAGTATAGACAGAAAGATAAGCTGATAGATGTAGCTAGAATGTATAAACATAATAAATAATCAGGTCTATGTGTTTAAAAACATGTACGAAACCGTATATGCTGTTCAAGTATTCCTCAATTTACACCAACCACGATTGTTATCGCACAACGTTCGTCCATAGTCCGCACAAATGTGCGCAAGCATTGATCGTCCAATTTTTTATCGTTCGCACTTCGTGCATCGTGTAACGTTGTGCGATCCCACAACTGTATAATATCTATTGTTATTTAGCCAATATTCCTCTCTGGCCAACCCCAGGGATAGGACAGGATCTTAGTTTCTGATACTTATTGATTTCAATTTCATTATAACTATTTCAATCAAGTTTGAATTATTTCTTGCTGAAAATGGACAAGATATAGTCAGAAGTGTTATTTCCCTATATAAACCAAGGAGAACAGATGACCAAAGGGTAAAATAACTAACAGTTTATATAATGTACCTAAATGTGCATCCCAAAAAAGAAATATGAATCTTCTACCACCTGAGTGCATTTTTTTTAAAAATATCAGCCATTTCCCCCTTTTGGCCCCACCTCTCCAGCCATAGGGCAAGGACAAATATCATTTTTTCAAATAGATAATGCACCCAAGGACCTTTCTATCCATGAAGATATTTGTTTGTTACACATATGAGTCTGATGAAGAAGATTTTTGAACTTTTTAACCATTTACTCCATTTAGGCCCCACTCCTCCAGCCCCTGGGGATGTGGCAGGATCTGATTTTCTCCTACATTTTGTACCATCTAATTGCCATCTGGCATCATAATCATTCTAACCAAGTATTAATCATTTCCAGCTAAAAATTGACAAAATATGTCAAAAAGTGTTATTTCCCTAGGGAGAACGGATAGCCCGGGGGAACTAAAATTTACAATTTACATAAATCCTTTGATGGTCTTTCCATTCATGCAGGGAAATTGACTGAAGTACCTCTGAGTCTCAAGAAGAAGGTTTTTGAAATATTGGTTACTTTTCCCTTTGGGACCCCGCCCTGGCCCCTGGGTTTTGGGCAGAAATCCCAATTTTACAATTTGATACCGTCTTCCTCCAAGGATGATTCTTACCAGTCAAGAATAATTTCCTACTGACAATTGACAAAATATACCCAAAAGTGTTATTTCTCTATATAAACTATAGTAAACGTGACCCCCTCCCCAAGGGAGAACGGGTAGCCCGGGGTACTGAATTTTTTAATTTACATAAAGCCCTTGCTGATCTTTCCATCCATGCAGAGAAATTGACTGTAGTACCTCTGAGTCTGGAGAAGAAGATTTTTGAAATATTGATTAATTTTCCCTTTGGGACCCCTCCCTGGCCCCTGGGGTTGGGGTAGGAATCCAAATTTTACAATTTTGTAGCCTAATCTACCAAGGATGATTCTGATCAAGTTTGAAAAAAATGATCCTTTGGTTCCTGAGAAGAAGTCGACAATGTAAAAAGTTTACGCACGACGGACGACGACGGACGAAATGCGATCAGAATAGGTCACTTGAGCAAAGCTCAGGTGACCTAAAAACGTATGAAACGGACGCTTAATTCACATGTGTATATTTGCTTTGTTAATCAACTACTATTTTCTAAATACCCAATGCTTATATATTCATTATGTATGACATTATGACATCTGTCAAGAAAAAGGACATGAAACCTAAACACCCGCCGCTTAAAAATGTGCAAAGTCCGCTCTACTTCAGTCATTATCACGTAGTCGTTTTTTTTTTTTAGATATAATCAACTTATGTACGTGTATTTGGTGGAAGTTATAGCGAGGATGAGAAAATGTTGGAAAAATATTGAATAAAGTTTGCTTGTACTCTGGCATCCCGAGTTATATATTCCACAATATTGAACAAGCATATGTTGACAATAACTATGATATCGATGCAAAATGTAACGAAAGTATCTTTAGTGCCAACTTCAGTGTCTCTACGCCTTTGATAAGCAACGTGACCTAGATAATCTAATAATCTAAATAAGGTTCTTTTGCGCGCGCTTTTGTCATGTGATGCCTATATGTCTTCAGTTCATCACAAGCTGCGCGTTTTTATCAGTTTTGACACTGCGTGCAGTTGTCCTATTATGTCTATTTAACCTGTGTATGTTTGAGAATGATGTTTTTAATTTTAGTCGTCATTAGGTCGTCAGACGATAAATAATCAACACAGACGTCATGCTTTATGCCAGATGTTTATTGCAATCAATCAAAGCCACCAATCTATATCGACATTGCTCGTCACTCATAAAATCATTTGCAAACACTATTTCAAATCACCTTCGCAGTCAGTGCAGCGGAACATTCTGACCATGAGCTTGACAGGTTTTAATTAGATTTAGAGGTCAAATAGATTTCTCTGTTTGAACATTAGCAAAACTTCAAATACATACAAAATTAATTACAGATACCCGGCCTCATTTGACAAATAAAACCTATTCTGCGACTTACTTGTTTACCGATGCATTTGATTTTGATTTTTAGAGAGCGTTGGTCGGTTGGAAAATAATTCACGCGCACTCATGGTCTATCGTCCAATAATCGATGGTAATAAACTAATGAAAACTGTTATTACATTGAAATCATTGTATAATATAGGACAAATGCATATAGTACTGAACATTTATAAAAAAAAACTCACATCAAGTAGTAGAACATATTTTTTTTTATAAGAATTTGACGGGCATTTCACTGTTAGGACTGATTTGGTCTTTGATTACAAACCCTTGTTGAACATCATGGTCTTAACCCTCTGTGAAGAAAAAAGCTTTATGTAAACCATACTACTGAAAGTAAGCTCTATTTTTCGTTAATAAAAATCAAAGTACTGAAAGTATTGAAATAATTCCAAAATTGTAAATTGTAAGTTGAATTTTGGCAGTCATTGTTAAATTCACATTTAATGTATTTGAAGGTAATTCATTTAAATCACGTTAAATATCTTCATTTATGAATTCTCTTTGCTAAATATTACGAACCTTGTCCTCTTCCTATTTTAAATACAGTATCAAGACTCTGGCGTTGTAGGACTTCAGGAGAAGTTTTTGTTTCAAAGATGCTATCTTGAAATAGCACATTTGAAATTTGACCCCTATCGAAAACCGAAAATTTACCTTTGGCACAAAAAAAATTCATGAAAATAAATATGTGCATTGGCGTTCTGCACATCGCACCAGAATATATTGTAAATACCTTAAACTATTTTAAAAATTCTGGTTTACAGAAATCTGAACTTTTTTATTCATTTGACCTCTGCGATCTTGAAAATTTATTAAAGTCAATCTGTTTTACTTACTTGATTGCTTATTACCTGAGCATGTTACATATTAGATAGCAAGACCCTAAACCTTGTAGAACGTTAGAAAAAACTTTTTTAAGTTGTTACCCTGAAATAACAAACATGAAAATTGAACCCTAAATACAACTCAAAATTTGACCTGGTCAGATCAAAATGTTTCCTGCAAAAAATATGCGTATTGATGTCGTCCACATCAAACCTAAATATAAAGTGAATCTATTAAATATTTTCGAAATATTCTGGATTAAATAAATGATTGCATTGAAGACATTATGTAAAATGAGTAACCTCGTTGGATCCATCGTTTTTGGTCACTGCTTCAGCTTGATACGTTCGTGATGACAGTACAAGAATTTATGATTGTTTGTGTTTACGTCCTAATAACTGTTATGGTCATTTAAGGACGTGCGAGGTTTCGGTGGTGGAGGAAAACCGAAGTACCCAGAGAAAAATTACCGACCTGCGGTCATTATCTTGCGACGGCCATACGTAGGCCTCGAACCCGTGACCAAGTACTCGAGGGCTAGGGATCGTGGACGGTCAGCGTTTGCTGAATTTAGAGACGTTATTCGATAACTTGCACCGCTAATCACTTTGAAAAAATGTTACGATGATTAAGCCTCAAATAGTACTGGTCAAAATAATTAACGTAAAGGGGTTAACACCGTAAATTGCAATCAGATGATAGTGCTTATCCAACCAAGCTATCATGGCCAATAACCTCATATGAAGTATGTAGTAAATCCATTGTAAATAACTCGAAATATGTTTATCGAGGGGACACTGTTCAGTAAGTGATTAAATTGGCATACCTCAGTAAATTACAGTTACATTTGTAGATAATTGTGGTTTTTTTGAGAACTCATGGTACATATGTAGTTATAATTCCTATGGAGCTTGTGGTTAATTCATTGTAAATTACTCGATACATCAAGGGGCACTGTTCAGCAATTAAATAAAGGGGCATTACTCAGAAAACTGTGTCTGATAATAATGATTATTGAAATTATTCGAGCTCTTTTGGCAATTATCTTTTCTATGATGTTTGAATTAAATACGTTGCAAAATACTCGACATATCGAGCAATTGATTTCAGCAATTGAAAAAAAGGGACGTAACTCCGTAAATTACTGTCAAATACCAATGGTTATTAAACTCCTCTTAACTCCACGTTTTGTTGATAACAATATTGTACGCACTAATTTTTTGGTGAATAGTGCGGTCACCTAACTGTTAAAGCGGACCTTTATATCAGTATCGCCACAAATGAGTAAAAAGATATAAACAACAATATCAAAACTATACTTAATCTATACGTCTTGCCAGCCTTAATCTCATTCAGTTCGTTGTACAGGTTGTCGTCAGCGAAATTGAGAATTCGTCTGAGGCTGAGAAGTGACAGAATGTTAATGTTCTGATCAAGCTCTACCTCACATTCGTAGTTTTTGACAGGAAGTATGTGCGACCTGGGCAGCCCCATGACCATGGCGACCCTGTCCACACAGTCGTTCATCCTTGGACTGAAAAACACTTTGCTGATGTCATTTGAGATCTCCTCACATATTGTGTCGATTTTCGTCAGAAGCACAACCTGGGGAATCCCTGTAAAGAACAAGTTTCAATAAATTCGTTAAGATGACTGCACAATGAAGATATGACATCGATACAAAATGGTAGTTGTTATTCCCTGCTTGACGTTTAGTAAATAGGGAAATGGCAACAACTAATTAACCCATTTCCAGTATAATATGATCGGGCAGAATGCTGTGATGGGTGCCTTTGGCATGGAATTTCAGTGAGATAGCAATATGAAGTCGGCATAGCCTTAGTAAACAGCTAAATGTATACTACTTAATGCCAAACTACTATTACTTTTTATAAGATTGTCATGAACTACATAAACACATGGGCAAGGAATTGTTTTTATTTAGGTAATGTCTGTCACAACTCCTCGTCTTACTCATCCAACACCAGTGACTATCATTTATTTTACTTTGTCTGGCTAGTCTTTAAGCAATGTCCAAAGTTTGATATCTTTACATATATTTTTGTGAATTTCCTGGATTTTTTAAGAAAACGATGTATCTTAAATAGTGTTGCTATTTGTCAGTTGTCATTAATCTTATAAAGCAGATACAAATCGGTATAAATTTGTGAATATGTATGGTTATCCTTTATAACCATAATTTTGGACCACAGTGGTATAATGCTACTACATGATTACCTACAGTACCTTAGTACTCATGCAACCTAAAATGTTGGTCAGGGTCAATTCCTTGAAACAACGAATGGTCCATTTCCCCAGCAAGCAATAAGCAATATCTCATTATTCTAGGTATTATGGATTTTAACAGAAACCATTTGAAGTATTTTAGACGAAACTAACCACTCTGACCTAGCAAGTAAATAACGTCTATTCATTTAAAAACTTTGCACAGCCGGCCCTTTAAACCATCAAGCTATCGGCAAAACAGCATGACTAAAGGTCTCTAGATTATTCAGAAGTTTGTTGAAAGGTTTTGTTTCATTTAAATCATTTAACCTTGACGGCTGTGAAGTGTAATTTATTAAACAAACTTTACATCTCGTCATGCAGCATGTTACAGAAAAATGTTATGAACCTATATGCCTCTTGGTTATTTGGAGAAGTTTGGGCGAGACGGTTGCTACTTCATGATCAGTTCAAATGCCCTTGCAAATGGTTAACTGATCTTCAAACTTTATTTCATTTTTAAATACATGCGTATCCTCAAGACGAAAATTATATAAATATGCACATATATTTAGCAGTTTTACAAGAAATACACGCAACAAATAAATTCTCCCCTTTGTGAATTACATTGAGAACCCTCGATCATATGGCTAAATTTACCTCTCTGATTCATTCGCAATTGCATGGACTTGATTCGCTTCATCACTTTCTGTGGGATGACATCCACAGTACTACCATCCAGGACAAATGCAACACAGTGGATTCTATCGGACAATGTCGGGTTCTTCACAAACCCAGGTTCGTCTGGCGATAGTGGAACAGCAGGGTTGAACTGGTGCAAATACAAATACGTACATAGTGAGTGGTACAGTTGTGGGATCGCACAACGTTACACGATGTGCGGTGTGTGCACGATGTGTGCACGGTGTGTGAACGGTGTGTGCACGATGGGCGAACGATAAAAAGCTGAACGATCATTGCTTGCGCACATATGTGCGCACGATGGACGGACGTTGTGCGATAACAATCGTGGTTGGTGTAAATTGAGGAATGCCTTAACAATTTATACGGTTTCGTGTTTAAACATATAAACTTGATGTTTACGTATGTTTCTATATTCTAGCAACATCTATAAACTTATCTTTCTGCCTATTTATTCTTATATTTAGAAATTTTGTTTTCTGTGTTTTTTAACAAACTTAATCGACACATGTAAAATTACAACACAATCCCGTATACAGGTAAACATAACCACTTTGTACATGTACCTGGACCGTAGTTTTCCCCCGCCTGGTGCATTTACGTAACTTGTCGGGTAAGGCCGCGGGTGTGAAAATCCAGGTGAAGGGGAGCTATAGGCAAACGAATGCAAATAACAAATACTATTCATTACGGTCAAACGGTATCGCATATCAGCTCTGTGTGTCAGGCACAGGTCAGGTAAAACTCCGGACACTCGTGGAATTGTTATTTACCTGTTCTGTTACCTTGGAGCCAAACCCATTCTTGACAGTCTTACGGTCGCTGTAATACTGTGTAACACGCATTGTGAAATTGTATAATCTTGATTATTGTGATGAGAAATTACAGATATATACACAGTGTACATTATCGCATACAAGCCGTATTTTTGTCATTCCGGAATTTTGATCTAAAAATGATACCAAATCGCACAGTTGTGCAGAGAGAAGCGCACAACGGGGCGAACGATTGCTAAATCGCACAGTTGTGCGCACCATGTGTGGACGATGTGCGGACGGTGTGTGAACGATGTATGCACGGTGTGCGCACGCTATTTTTGGTGCGTTGTGCGGTCCCACAACTGTATTTATACGAAACCTTAAACAACCAATATCCAGTAAGTCCACAACGTGTTGTAGTTCATCTCCTTGGTTATAGGAGAATGCCTTAAAATACACAGTGTCCTCTGTAATTGAGACATGAATGTAGAAATCACACGTACCAAACGTTGAAGCCTGTTTCTAAGTTTTTACCTGGTGGACGACATGTTGCAGTCTGATAAGCGTGCTGTCATCAGGGTATACAATGATTGAAATTGACCCTGAACGTGAGTCAAGGTTATTCTTTTTGAACAAACTGGTAGCCCTTACAATTTTCAATGCCTCTTGACTATCCAGAAGAAATAGTTTAGGCTTTAATAGATTTGACCAACGTGGTCCTGAATATAAGAAAAGTTATCTCCTTCATGTAAACGTCGTAGTATTCAATGCGAAGAAGTGTAACCAGCCAAATGTTCTGAAAATAGGACTTAGTTCTGCCAACGTTATTTTATTTTTAAAAAAGGATCAAATTTGTCCCTTGTAACCATGAACATAGATCGAGATTATATTGTTTAGCAAACTGTTTAGTACCCCATGCCGTTCAGTTATTAGACACAATCTCAGCGAGTCAAAATCATTCATTTTCAAGGTTCCTTTGCATGGGACGCCTCTAGCCCCTTAAAGTCGTTTTAAGTTAGCGGACTTAAATAGGATTCAAGGCCAACAAGCTGCTTGCTAAACGTCATGACTCTGTTTTGTTAAAAAGAAAAGCAATTTAAATAGTTTAATCACGAATACTGGTCATTGCTGTTCAAAAGCTTTAAAATACAGTATTTTTTTCGCAGACTTTGTCGATCTGCATCGTAGGAAGCTACTTACAAATACAAAGTCGCCGCGCCAAAGATGCTTAAAAAGAATTTACTTTAAAAACCAAATCAAAGGGAAAAAACCTTCATTTTGTGAAGCATTGCTACTTGTAATTGACCATGTGCCTCAAACGAAATCAACATATCAGGTGAAGTAGTAGAGTCAAATGAATGCATGTACTCTTACAGTTGTGTGATCACACAACGTTACACGATGTGTGGTGTACGAACGATGGGTGTACGTTTGTGCGCACGATGGACGAACGTTGTGCAATAGCAATCGTGGTTGGTGTAAATTGAGGAATGGCTTAATAATATAAACAGTTTCGTGTTTAAACAGAAAAACTTGATTTTTAAGTATGTTTCTATATTCTAGTTACATCTATAAAATTATCTTTCTGTTTATACTTTCTTAGATTTAGAAATGGTGTTTTCGGTGTTTTTTAAACGACCTTAATCGACACATGCAAAATTACAACACAGTACTGTATACAGGTTAACATAAAAAAAAAATGTAGCCACTTTGTACAGGTACCCGGACCGCAGTTTTCCTCACCCGGGGCACTAACGTAACTCGTCGGGGTGTAAAATTCCAGGTGAAGGGGAGCTATAGGCCAAACCGAATGCAAATAACAAATACTAAACGTCCAGTTGTGTTCTCATAACGGTCATACGGTATTACATATCAACTCTATGTGTCAGGCACAGGCCAGGTAAAACTCTGGTCAAAAATTGTTATTTAAATTTACCTGTTCTGTTACCTTGGAGCAAAACCTATTCCTGAACGGTCACTGTAATAATGTGTAACATGCATTGTAAAATTGAAAATAATCTTAATTATTGTAATATGGTGTGTTGATCGATCACACATTTCTGAAGACCAATACATATCAAAATTTCAAAAATATCTGTAAACTTCTTGAAAAAATAAAGATAGCAAATTGTAATTGTCAAAATCGATGATTGCTGAATGACGACCATTTTGGTCCTCGAATCAGTCTCTAAATGCATAAAAGGGAACTTATGTGAAGAACTACGCCGAACTTCCTCAAAAATGAAAAAAATAAACAAAATGTCAAAATTTTAAACAAATGGCTTTTGGCCATTTCGTTCTTACAATCCAACTCTAAATGTTAAATTCACAACCAAGTACAGAGGGAAACCCGCATATCGAATTTGATAAATATCTGTCCGGTACTCTTTAGAAATAGCCAAAACATGATTTGTTTAAGTACAGACAACGGCAGATGATGGAGAATTTAAGATTAACATGGCACTAGTAAAAATATTCTTTTGAAAAACTGTTTGTTCATTTGTAACTAAAATGTAGCCACACCAGCACTAAAATTACACTGTATCAATATGGATAACATCACCTGGTATTTAACCTCTAGATGGTTGTATGTTGATAAGAATCAATTCCGGAATGTTTCCAAACTATTCCTGGCAATCGCATATACTTTTGAGCAGCAAAAACAATAACTCCTGGAAATGTTCTAATCACTGCTAAGTATTTGCTTAACAAAGAACACTCAAAACACTGCTACAATACAATAAGTATTTCTGCTGCAATTGCCTAACTAGTCTTTAACAGAATCTGCACATGGCCTGTGTGTGTCAATGCTAATCAAAATCCTCCCAAATAAAAAAGACCAGAAAAAGAGCATAACTCTAAAAAAAAATAGCTTAAATACAAATAACCACAAGCACACAACTTTTAGTTGATCACATAAACAAAATTAAATAAAATATGCCTCAGGAAGAAAGTAGCAGTACTATTGAAAAACTTCCCTCCACTGATGGACAGAAAGATAGACGGTGGGACAGACTAACGCACTGAATACATATATATATACATTCTATATGTAGATACTATTCAAGTTAAGCACAACTATTCCCACGAAACAAAAACAGATAATTGTTTGTAAAAAGAAACCTACACACTCACCTTGTACCTGTCTGGCACGTGACCCTCAAGTAGATAGTCAATATCGTGATCATCAAGACCTTGGTCTTCCTCAAGACCACGTGTGTCGCATAACCGAAAGTTGAGAGGTTTCCCAGCATATCCGTCCATTACCTGATATGTCCTGTACTAAATTGTGCAAAATAGAGAAACTAAAAGCAATAAAAATGCTTACTCAACTTGAAATTGAATCAGCAAATGCAGAGGATTCAAAAAGAACCTTAACGAGAACGTGACCCAGTTTCTAGATCAACTTGAGCCAGTTCATAATAGTGAAACTTAAAATTTAAATTCAAATTTAAACACGTTTTGGCCCCTACCATCATCAATAACTCTAAAGGTACGAAGCAGCTTAATGATGCAGTGTCACTTATATGCATTTGTTGGCATCTGTAAATATTACCAACCGTTTGCAACGACATTTGTATGTGTTTTACGTTCGTTTTCACTGTTTATATGGGCCAGTTCATAGTTTCATATGATCAACTTTCCTAGTTTCACGTAAACCAGACCATAGTTTGATTTAACCTAGTTTAGTAACAAGAGGCGCACATGACCCGTTGCTAACCTGGATGTATAAGCAATTATGGCAAATATCTCACCAGAAGTAATCAAGTCAAACCTGCTCATGAGACCACTTATATAAAGATACCACTTGTTTATAGAAACCAGTTTTGAATCTTCCTATTCCGTAACAGCTAAACGTATATTAAGAGACCAATTGTAATGGGTGACCACTTCGTGTGCCCTGATGCCAGGAATGCTTCCTAACCAATTTGATTGAAATATGCTCAACTTTCTGAACATGAGGAGACGGCTTTTAAAGATTTTAAAATCTGCAAGTTACTCCTTTTTGTATAACCTCTCTGATCTCAATAAGTAACATGTTTTCTTTATTCAACAATTGACTACTAGGTACGTATAGTCAATGATGCTTAATGACAAGTTTCGTTGTGATCAAAACATAAAATATTGTATATAACATTCAATATAACATAAATCACCTCAAATATTTACCCTGCGTTTCTTTATCCTTTTAGTGTATACATACATGTATATATATGGGGATCACAACCGTTTCCCCAGGGATCGACTTGGCATTGGGAGCAACCATTGTAAGAAATGTATGTACATGTATACATGGTAATTGGATATGGATCTAACTGTAATAATTCAGGAAGTCAATTCCCTGTAGCATGGCCAGGTGTTATTTAGGAGAAGGATTTTAAATGAAAACTTGACGGACAGATAACAAAGGATAATGGGTTAATTGACTCTGATCGAGACGACAATTTGCCGATAATTATATGTGCCACCGATTAATGTTTTAATATGTGAATACATTGACATACTACCAACAAATTATTTTTACTGAGAATTATCAACTGATAATATGGAGACAAATAACCATCAATACAATACCAGTACAAATTAGTGATAGGGATGGGAAATTCCTAAATTATCAGCCTTTAGTTTTGGTGAAAATGATTTGCTCTAATATGCATGTTCAGTTCTCTTATATCATTTGTTTTTCATTTTAACAGATGTAATATCTCATCTTGGCACTTCGGCCCGCTTGAATGTGGAAGGCCTTGAAATTGGGATGCAGAAGGCCAGAGAATGTCACAGAAATAAAACAAATGAAATTATTTGCAGCGCTAGTGTTTTATGGTCATAAAACACAGAACATTTTCTTCAAGTAAATCAACCACATGCTTTATTATTATATCCATGTGTTGGCATGGTTACCTAAACAGCGTGTATGCATATACACCTAGTCATTGTCAGACCATTTTGATTGACAGGTGCAAATCTGTCAGTTGTAGCTTGGTCAATGATTTATTATACAGGAGATGGGGTGACTTTCATGTCATTTTGACATATTTCTAGTTATACTCACAGATGTTGTAAGACTATGTTCAGCGCTGCCAGCGTTGGCCTGGGCGCTGATGTGTCCCCGGAAGATGGAGTTGATGGTGTTGAAGTAGCTGGACTTCCCAGATCCGACCTGACCGACCAACAGGATCCTCGCCTGCTGGAGATCTAGTCCGGATAATGGTTTATAGGTGGCCACTTTGCTCTTTATCTCTTTCCCAAACTGTATGTATAACATAAATTAATAATAAACTCTTTCTCACAAAAGTCTAATCAAAATAAACGTCCGTCATTTATAGATTGAAATCGAAACGAAAAAGACAGCATTGCTCTTGACTAATGAGTACATGTACCTAGTATGCCAAATATAAATTACAGTATACTGATTCATACAGCTGTTTCATCCTTTTAGGACTAATCGGTGATGCAAGGGACCAGAAAGTTAGAAATTAAAATTAGTCTTAACCAATTTTGAAATAGAGCGGCAGGTTCGTAAAATCATCCCTTAATTGATGAATTTGAAGACTTAGAGAAGTACTGATAAAATATACTAAGTTAAAGCGGAAATATCTTTCTTCGTTATATACTTGTTTTAATTTTACAATTTTATGCAAAACATATCGGTAAAACTTTATTTATACACATCTAAACGCTTGAGGTTCATTAACAACGAGGTCACAGAAAACATAGCAAGCGACCACCTCTTTAACTACAAGAAAACCCACAACAGTAAGTTCTCTTAAAGTATGTACTTCCGTTCGAAGTTATAAAACCCTGTATCAAACTTGTTTTGACATATGAGTAAAACTTGCGCAACAATCATCAATCTGCTACAGTTAAGAATGGCGACACAGTGACGCTTTTAGCGATATATCTTATGTTAAAATGGAAAACGTTAATAAATACACATTTTTGGGATATCCAAATGGCGTAGATTTAGTTGATTTTTTATAAAGCGGTATGCAAGCGATAGGCATCTATTTTAGACACGTTTTTCAGATACAAATTTGGCTTCAAGGTTGCTCAGAATTTCAGTTTTCATTAAAAAAAAATTAAACTAGATCAAAATGAGATTTGAAGGTGTTTTAAACCTCGGAAAAAAAGAGAACATCCTGAAAGTGATCCTAAAAATTACTGCCATATTTTGATGTGTCAGTTTATTAAATAAATCGATTTATTTGATTTTTTAAAACATGTTCAAAGTGATGCCCACAGGCAACAACACATTTTACGTAAATCAATAAATTTCCAAAATTTATCAAACAAGTCCTATACATACGGAGGAACTCCAGTCGATATTACGCATCCATGGCTTTTCCATGATCTGTTTTTTTTTCTTACTTTGCAGTAATTCTTCTTCCTCTATCTGTTCCTTCACTTCTTTCTCTGTACCAAAAACATTAAAATTATATAACATTATATCGTTGGATCTATTCTAACAACTGTGACTATCATGCACTGCCTGTGAGTGTACGAAGCTTGATAGAAATCATTTCCTTTTTGTATTTCAATATATAAGGCTATTAAAAAGGTGATAAAAAGATTAAATACATAAGTATTTCAAATTGTAAGTCGCGTGGTACACGTGTAATAACCTTTTACAGCGTGGTCTTAACCTTAGTATCGCGTTTTCAATACCTTATAATGGGATTGTTATTATCTTGTTATCGCGTGATCATTACCTTGTAATCACATTATCATTACCTTGTTGTCGCGTAGTTATTACCTTGTTAACGCGTGGTTATAACCTTGCTATCCCGTAGTTATCACCTTGTTATCGCGTGGTTATAACCTTGCTATTACATGGTTATTACCTTGTAATCGCATGGTCATAACCTTGCTATCGCCTGGTTAATACCTTGTTAACTCGTGGTTATTAATGTGTTATCGCGTGGTCATTACCGTGTGATCGCAAGGTTTTTACCTTGTTATTCCTTGATCATTATTTTTTTTATCGTTTTGTCATTACCTTGTTATAGCGTTGTCATTAGCTTGTTATCGTATTGTTATTAACGTGTTATCGCGTGGTTATTTCCTTGTCATTGCGTTGTCACTACCTTGTTATTCCTTGGTAATTATCTTGTTATGGCGTTGCAATTACATTGATATCGTTTTGCTTTATGAAGGCAAGTTTTTGGTATTTTAATTTGTGATATCCGGATCTTTGGTTTATTTTGAATTATATTGAATAGTTGTGTAGTTATTTTGTTTTGGAAGGATTTCATTCCAGTCGTAGTTTACGATGAAGTATACAACAAAATATCAATTTTGTTAAACGCAAGTGATTTTGGTATTTATGGTATATTTGTTTGCATTTTATTTTTGTTTGTAAAAATCCTTTTTTTCATTCCTCCTAAAATATCTTATTGAGAACTTCTCAAAACTGTTTGAACAACTCTCCGATATATTATTTTATGTCATAATATTATAATCGCTTTTCTTTAGATAAAATCTGTCAATAATTAAAGAGATTTTCACAAAAAACTAGTTTTCGACAGAAATCCAAACCAATGTTGTCACCTAGTTACCTTTTGTTCCCTTCGAATGTTTATATATACATGCATTCGAAGGGCTGACAGTTTAAGCCTCATGTTCAATTTAACAACTACCTCGAACACTGTAAACTTCCAGATTCAGGACTTGTAGATGACCGTTCATCACAGTGTTGTAGTTTTGTCCCTGCATGTTGTACGTATAGCCTATACTGGCAGAACCATTCAATCGGAAATAATTACCGGATCTATTTACAGTTCCACTGAAGCAGTGCAAGTCATGCCCACATCCAAATGTTGGCCAATAACCTGCATCCCCGTAAATCGCGTTTGTGCCGCCTCTACTTGTGTTAGGAAACTTCATCGGCTGTGCTGTACCGTTATACTCTAGCCTAAACAAGAATGCATATGCATCGGTGATACATGAACTGTTGGAATTCCAGTTGGCAGCTGTGTACGCTCCGCACACTGAGTTATTTGTATTGTACAGGACGGTGACGGTCGACTCTTTGTTGTCACAGTAACGATAGAAAGTCTGAGCGTTAAATCCGTCACGGCTGATCTTGTACAGTAAAGTAAACGCATGGCTTTTTGACGGGTCAATCCATTTGGAAAGTTGATCCGTGTGGGTCTGCGTTAGCTTGGTCGTCATTGTGTTAACTGCAAAAAGATACAGTTTATGGAGCCAGAACAAATGCAGGAAGCCAATGTCCTCATAGACTTGCGCATATTTGACCATTTGGATATTTTTACAACTAACGGTGACCGACCATTGTACTGTATTGGCAAATACGAGGAAAACCGACATAAATAATATTTTAAAGCCCTTTAAATTATCCCAAGCGACTGTCAAATTTACGACTGCTGCAAATACAGTTACCTTAATGACAAATATTTTCATTAATAAATTCCCATACTTACATGTATCATTTTTTTGTAGAGAGCAACCATCATAAAAGAGAGACTACATGTATATATGTTAAAACACTGAAGTACCCATTTATTAACCATACTAACATACACAACCACATCTTAGAATCCATCTAAGTTAGGAGGGTAGCAGAGGAAATCGATGAACAGAGACAAGGAGGACACCAGCAGCAGCATCTTTATGACCACATCTAAATATCCACTAAGAGGCGGAATGGATAAACATGCTATCCGTTCCGTACCTGCCAGCAGTAAAAGGGTATTATTTGTACGAACTATCCCTATATTTTCTGACATTTGGCGTAACTGACTCGGTGCCTCGTGGATTAGTAATTTGTTTTTATTGGTTTAGAGTCGCGACACAGGTCATTTGCTTGGCAAAGGAAAAACAATTTTCGAAACATCCTAAATAAGCTTTCAACAACTGTTCGTGTACCAAACAAACTTGGCACATATTTGCATATGTACATTGTAAATGTAAGTGTTTGTGGGTGATGTGTGGTTGATGTGTGTATCTCTCCTGATGAAATGGGTTATATTCCCTTGCAGTATTTGCAGTTTGCATAAAAATAACAACAAACAGCAAGTATCCCCTCGCAACGAAAGTTCTAGGGGTTATAGGATTCCGCCCGTACGTACGTATATTGCACTCTTTGTCATCGCTTTACCGACTTTATTCCTCAAAGGAATTTCATGAAACGTTATACAAGTGTTTGGTATGGCAATGCCGTGAACATATTGGCGTTTCAGGTTTCTACGTTGAAGGTCAAGGTCATTGATACCATTTTTAGAAAAACTTTGTTGAACAATTATTACTTTCGGCATTCTACGTTGAAGGTCAAGATATTGTTACTATTTGTAGAACAAACTTTGTCATCGCTCTAGCGACTTTATTTCCTCTTACATATGTCGCAATGTGTGAATGAGAGGATCTGTATCACTTGTGATGTCTTGGTTAACTTTAAGACAGCTTCCTATGTTAGTTATAAGTGTATACGTAAATTATTTGTTAGTTGTATATCATTCCAATTGTTGAATCTTCCAGAGAGTGTCTTTGTGTTTGCACTTCAGAGCTCAGTGAGTCGAAAGATATCACGATACAATTCGTGCTGTGCTGTAGAGGATTTGACTGACAGCAAATGAAATGCGTGTACAAGACGAGTTTATATATCCAGTCACCCAAAACTGTAAATATTGTACATTTTATCATACATTGTATCTTGACCATATATAAGATTAGATTCATGCTTAATATGTAAATAAATAAATAAAGCCTTTATATTATTATAAAGATTGTAATCACAGCGTGAACCTGAATCCATGTACATGTGTTTTGTGTACCGAAAGCGGGAACATATAGCATTTACCTGGCTGATGTTTTGCACACATGCGGCGTTATCAGTAACTCGAAACCACGTATTCAAAACCAGACGTTGACTTAAGAGGTTATCTCAGCTGATCTATTTCATTATAAAATGTCTTAAATTTCCTTGTGTCTATGTTGTTCGTTTTATAACTTTAGATAGACCTGGTCACTGATTATTTGACACGTCCTGGTCCTGACAATATTCTAAATGTGGCTACTCCAATAACTGAAAATATATTTCATCTTATTACCAGATGTTCATTTCTGTGTACTGGATATACATTATACATGTACATAGTCGTACAAATATGAGATAACCGATTTAAATCAGGGTCAATCTTTAGTTTAACATTCAATGTATGATGAGAGTTTGTAATCTTTTTCATTATCTTTTCTTTTAGAGAAGTAGATTAGCTTGTTTCATAAGTTATTGACAGTAACTATTGTGAGTATAATTTTTCTTCTTACATTGATTGTAACCAATTAACTTTGCAAAAGTTGTTTGTCATCCATTCATTTAATAATTGCTTTGGATATATTGTATTTCAGTATATAACTAGAAATATTACGTATGCAGTGTTGAATCGCAGGACTTGTAAGCGGATTGAAATTAAAAAGTACAATGAATTGCAAAACATGGTTCTATAATATGATTAATGATAAATACGTCGATAATACTAGCATAGTATGGGTTTTGAATACATTAGTTACAGCCCCATAACATTAAACATAAGTTTACCTATTCCGATCTAATTTGTACATTGCAATTAAACCCCTTCCTTACTAAACACACATATATGTTCAGCTTACTTGACCTCTTCTCTTTAATTAATCAAAAAGATATATCTAACAACCCAAAAAGCTATTCAGCAATATTTAATAATTTACTGAAGTAATCATATCACTGACTGGAGGTCATCATTGACATTAACTCTTTCGTCTGGTTGACCAAGTTTGATTCAGACTTCTTCAATTCTAATTGGTTGTTTCACGTTTAGTTAAATAAATAGCCCAGCCTGCATGCATATCATTTTTGGAAAGAATATGATTGGTTTATAAAATTTTAATAAAAATGTTGTGCTAATGACATTGTATGCTGGGTTTTCAAAAACCTACTGGTTTACACAAATAAATAAATAAATAACCAAGCTTGCGTGCACATGCTTTTCGGACAGAATATGATTGATTTATAAAATTATAAATACAAAATTTGTGGTAGTGTCATTGAATGCTGGGTTTTCATAAACCTACTGGTTTACAAAATCTTGTTGGGTTTTCCTGAGAAGAAAAGCAAAAGTAAATGCTTGGTTTTTTAAACCCAGATATATAAATATAAGTGGCTGTTATGTACATGCACACACTTACAGGAAAAAAGCTGAAACCACAATTGAAGTTAGAGGTGCATCACTTGACATTAGCAAACGCAGTATTCTACTTTTTGTGACTCTTACATAATGCAACGAATATACATTATAATATGAGATCGATCCCGGAAGTGATTTGAAATCTAAACACCCGCCACCCGCCCCTTCACAATTTACAAAGTCCTCTCTATTTGAGTCGACTGTAGGCCTGCATAATTGGCTACACACAGCAAATAATCCAAAAAACTTTATTAACACACACAACAAATAATTGCATTAGAAAACATCATTAATCATTAAATAAATGCTAAATTCATACTTACGTCTGTCTCAGGATTACATCATACTGACGGTCCTCTCGATAAGGTTTCCGACATTTCCTGGTTAGCCGAAACCAAAAGCGAAAGCGGAGAACAACAAATCACTGAAACAGCGAACGGGAATCCACACGAATTGTAAGATATTGCTAAGGAAGGAACGTGATGAATTTCCAGTAAGATTATGATTTCAAGTTATTTAAACGTTACCAGTTTATAGAAATTGGTCGCATTAGAATCACTACAATAAAAGGGAAACAACTCTTACTTCCTTTGCCGAAAAGAGAATACATAAAATATTTGTTTCAAAGTTTATACAGAGGCCATGAGGTCGTATTCCAGGGTACCAAAGTGAACGTCAATGTCACTGCTATATATAGGTCAACTGGATCAAAGCCATTGTTACATGTACTAGTGATAGATAATTATCAAACAATGAAACTAGTTTATCAAGGCCAAGAGGGAATACATGTCTTACAGATGTGTCTAGGTATTTTCTATGCTTTTCGGGTTATATCTTATATAAATGTAACGAAACAAACTTTGTGCACTTAGCAGAAGTCCACGAAATTTAACATATATTATTAACGCATATAAAAAACTATTACAATTAAATATACGCAACCAACTGATATGAACAAAACATTAATCGTGCAGCTATTTATTACGTGTAGTCAATTTTGCATATATTTATTATATTCAGTTAAAATTATTGCTCAATTCCTGTCAAAGGTATATATGTAAGTATTGTTAATATTAAACATGTCGTACTTTTACCACTGTATGTCGCTATATAAACCTACCCAATCCAGGTGGCATCCACGTGTTGACGTCATCATTGCTATGTCGTAATAACCGTAAAGTTTGAAACCATTTACCCTCTTTAGAAGAGGGCTTTACTTTTCAATGCACAGGCATATACAATACTTTCACTAATTTGAACTATAACCAGCATTTTAATAAAAGTATATTAATTAATTTATGATATTAAAATACTCTTAAATGGTAAATATACGCATTGAACTGTTTTGATTTGGCAAATATAATCTTATACAAAGGGAACAGTTTTGCTATCAAACAAATTTTCATGTGCGCAACAAAGCTATGAATTCGTTGAGACTGTAAATGCCATATCAACATAGTTAAAGGCTAACTGGTATGAAAAACGTTTCTTTTATAAAGTCTGGAGCCTTCTTGTATCTGCTGGTTAATTATTTGTTACATATCTGGTGCCGGTTCTTAATCGTTGCAAGCAAACATTTTCCCTTACGTACATATTTGTAAACAGTATTATGCTATGTTTCATATCAGATAATACCATATACACAATGAACAGGGTGTAACACATTCAAGTGGAGGAACATATCAATCTTTTTTTAAGTACTTATGTTGGTAAATGCATTCATGTAAGTGATATAACAAAATAACATTCCACGTGTTACCAAAAAGTATTACATATATATGTTATTCAGACATGTTTTCAAAGACATTTATTAAATCAAATGTCTGATGATTAATAATGTCTTATTCCATATCTAAACGCGATCTTCTGAAAGAAGGAAAACTGTTATGCCCAGTAGATCAATAGAAATTGAGTTTAAAAAATGCATATCTTGTAAATAATTTATACATAAATTTAAACTTATAATAAAAGGAATAGAAAACTGTTCATGTCAATATTGTCCCATGTCCATCTTCCTCATGATCCATCTCTGCGGGTCGGATATCGAAAACAGAATATACCTGCTATAACATCTGCATGTATCTTAAAAGGCGACTAATGTTTGAACCCCCAGCAGAATTGGGGATTGGCCCTCTATTCCGGGAAGGGACCAAATAGATCTGCTGCATCCATTGCAATATTTGGGATCTCAGTATCTCTCTCTGCTTCTAACTACAGTGAACCTTTTATTTTCTAGCGCCTTGCTTTGCAATACCTCTCTTTTTGGATTTGGTGGTGATCATTTGACAAGGTGGTGTAGGCAATGGGTTCTGTCCCAAGGCCGGGACATACCAGAGTCCTTTAAACGGAAGTTCTTATTCCCTACTTAACGTTCACCATTAAGGGTAAGGGCAACTATTTCACCCGTTGTCAGCATAATGTGACCGGGCGGAATGCCGTGCTGGGTGCCTTCGGCATGATATTTCAGTGAGACAACATTAAAAATTGTGCATCAGATCTGCGATTTCACAAGGAGGCAATTTCACGAACATACCCTGCCTTCAGCACACATACACACAATCGCGCATACACATCACATGGAGGTATATCCTTAAATGACCATAGCTGTTAATTGGACGTTAAACAAAAAAACTAAATCCTCATGATCAGTAATATACATGTACCAGCTAGATAGCTGAAGTAACAAAACAGTTCTTAATACTTAATGTTAACACTTTCCGGAGCTATTGATATTTTTTTTTATTTTTTGTTTAATTCGTGTTTATCAGATTTCTTAACAGTATTATATGATTTCTCTCCCATACAGGTGGAGTAGTATCTAGCTGCCCTTTGTTACACGTAAAGGTATGTTATCATTCGGGTAATCGACCTGACGGTACAGACAACATGATCAATGCACAGCGTGGAAGCTTACATTGAACGGCGAGCTCCCGCTGTGCGCAGTTTTTCTTTAATTGTGATTAAATTATGTTTCTGTTGGGGTCAATATCACTGATGATATTTACGAAAAATATGAACATAATTAAAACGCTATTTTTATATGCCATATATTACCGAAGTTAAGCAAAAACCTCTCTTAAACTGACATCAACAAATAATATACACATCTAGTTTATATATATGACACGTCGTATCTTGATTGAATTGTTGATACTTTATCTAAGGTAGAACGTGAATAGAACGACAGATAGTATTGCTGCTATCTTCATAAACAACTGATAGCATTGTGTTCAGTACTCATAGTATCTTAATTATCATACATGAATAAAAGGATTCTAGCTTTCACTGATAGCTGTACTGTTTAAGCATTGGTTAATAACATACAACAGGATTGCAATATTAGTCAAGATGCGGGTTTGGTTTGGTTTGGCAACAGTTGCTTTGATTCTGATATGTAAGAAGCCGTTACATGCAGAGGAAATATGCTGTGCACCTGATCAGTTCGAAGGAACTGCTTTCGTAGGATATGGGAACGTGTTTATCGATAGAAAAGCAGGAGCAAGTCAAAAGTCTCCCCGAACAGCTTACTCTTACATCAATGGGACAGTGGCGCTCTCATACGACTACACCAACAGACGTCTTCTCTTAAAACTAGCGGGAACAGAGGTATCCCCACTATTACCTAAACCCGAACCATACAACACAATTTACCTCAGCGACTTTGGAAAGGTGAGTATGACGTATATTTGTTTCTCTCATTTCCCAGAGCTGCCCAGGGTAGGAAAGGGTTGTAGAAAATGTCTAAGTTACACCAAATTTGACGTGACGTGACGTCACATTGGCTCAACACTAACGTGACGTCACGAATTTGGAACTCTCCGATGCCGCAATGCGGAAAAGGCGACGTAATGAAATTAAAACCTTTTACGATATATTTACCGTACACGTTAGAAAGATGTGATTACTTTTTCTGTGCAAACAGTATTTGCAAAAAAGGGATATGTTAAATCTGGCTGGCTGATTCGTTTTCGCCTAGAAAGCTCAGGAAGGGAATTGTATATTTTCAAAATTGTGGCCAGTCCAAACTCATGTTCGTGGTTTCTGAGCTTATTCTGGTTGTTAGAATGAGAGAAAAATTATCTAAAGTCGACAGTTTAGCCAAATTTGAAAATCCCGAGGGTGGAATTTCCCTATTCTACACCCATGGGCATGAAAGAGTCTTATATTATTTATCTATGACTAAATGCTTAAATTCAAATAAGTTAAACAGAACAACACATTAGTTAATGTATTACCGACAGGTGTGGTCGGTCATCCACTTAATAGACAAGAAAAACAGTATTTTAATTGATGAAATGTATTTATTAATGTTATCTGCTGAGGACAGGGACGATCAGACCACGTGTCTGCAGGAGGCCTTCTCATTAGTTGCATCATCAATCTGTCAGGTAATTTGTAACAAAGATTGTTTATATAAAGTCGATGGTGAGATGTTTGGCCTGAAATGGTTAAGATGGAGTACTTCTACCGCTGAGTGACCGCCATCATCCTATTGATTGTTCTGCCACTTTAGGTGTGCGCATAAAAGGTTAAAAAGTTAAAAACGTGAAAAACGTGTGTGCTTAACAGTAAGTGCAAGTTAAAACATTTGGGTGGTGCAAGTTAAAACATTTGGGTGGAGTCTACGTCTGAAGGTGAGCCTTGAGGGCTTCAAAGCTCATAGCGGCTGCTGTGCTGATGGGCAGTGCGTTCCAATCCTTGATGGTTCTCGGATAAAATGATCCCCCCTTGTTGTGGTGTTACATGATGGAATCTGGATGGATTGGCTATGCATGTAAAGAGTGAGCCGGTCTGGTGGTAATAGTTTGCCTGATGTTTCAATGGTGACTAGGCCGTTGTGGATCTTGTACATCATCACTAGTCTAGCGTTTCTTCTCCTCTCTTCTAAAAATGTCCACTTCAGTTGTTCAATGATGGAGCCAACAGATGAGGTGTTATGGTATCTGTTTTTGACATATCTCGCAGCCCGTCTCTGTACCATGTCCAGGCGATATTTGTTGTTCTGCTGGTATGGGTCCCATGTGGTGCATGCATACTCAAGTGTAGATCTCACTAGGCTCATATAGGCTTTCTCCTTTAGATTACTGTTGCTGATGTTGAGATTTCTCTTTAGGAATCCTATGGTGTTATTTGCTCGCTGTCATATATTTGAGATGTGTGTATTCCACTTTAAATCTGAAGATATGGTGACTCCAAGATATTTAGCAGATGTTACATGTTCTAGTGTATGACCATGAAGAATGTAGTTATACATGGTAGGGGTCCTCTTCTTTGTAATTGATAGAACATTACATTTATCAGGGTGGAACTTCATCATCCATTTCTCTCCCCAGTCTGACAGTCTGTTTACGTCTTCTTGTAGATGGTCCTTGTCAGCATCCCATTATATCGTTAAATAGACTATGGTGTCGTCTGCAAATAGCCTTACTTGTTATCCGGCATATCGTTAATGTAATATAAAAATAGATACGACCCAAGCACCGACCCCCGAGGGACTCCTGACTCCACACTGATGTAATCTCCTGCTTCCCCTTCTACGAGTATGGGCACTAATATTGTATATACCATTTTGCCTGAGACCAATCAAATACCTAACCGCGTGCCTTCAATTTTTCAAGGAGTGCAGAGAGCGAAAGTGAACTTAACTGCTGGAGTATTGAAGATGGTTTTCTGTGCATTGCAAACACCATTAACAGCTGGTCCCGCTAGTCCCTGGATAAACTTTATTATTCTGGTTTCCATACACTTTCAATTCATTTATTCTGCAAGCTTTACGGCTTATGAGATACATTACATATAACATGATACATTTGTAGTTACAATTTGTACAAAGTTCATGCAGTTGTTCAGGAGAGTGACAATTGTACATTGATACATTAACACACTATGGAAACATGTGCAAACACACACGAGATATATAAATGTAGAACTATAACGACAGAGAGCGTTGCAAAAATGCAAGTCTAATAAATTTACCAAGATTAGATAACTCTTTAACATGTTAACACTTAGTAACTGAATACACTAGGACGACGGAAATAGGAAGACTTCAAATATCTGACTCGTAAGTTTGAATACAGAGGACACTTCAGGTTGAAATGCAATTCGTCTTTAATATCTCCATTATCACGCAATGTACAACATCTACATTATCACACAATGTACAACACATCCATTATTACACAATGTACAACATCTCCATTATCACACAATGTACAACATCTCCATTATCACACAATGTACAACATCTCCATTATCACGCAATGTACAACATCTCCATTATCACACAGTGTACAATATCTCCATTATCACACAATGTACAACATATCCATTATCACACAATGTACAACATCTCCATTATCACGCAATGTACAACATCTCCATTATCACACCATGTACAACATCTCCATAATCACACAGTGTACAACATCTCCATTATCACGCAATGTGCAACATCTCCATTATCACACAATGTACAACATATCCATGATCACACAATGTACAACATCTCCATGATCACACAATGTACAACATCTCCATTATGACACAATGTACAACATCTCCATCATCACACAGTGTACAACATCTCCATTATCACACAATGTACAACATCTTCATTATCACACAATGTACAACATCTTCATTATCATACAATGTACAACATCTCCATTATCACACAGTGTACAACATCTCCATTATCACATAATGTACAACATCTCCATTATCACACAATGTACAACATCTCCATTATCACATAATGTACAACATCTCCATTATCACAAAATGTACAACATCTCCATTATCACACAATGTACAACATCTCCATTAATCACAAAATGTACAACATCTCCATTATCACACAATGTACAGCATCTCCATTATCACACAATGTACACACCCTATTTGCTCTAGCTACATTAAAGTATCTTCCACTTTCTACATTTATCTTGTGTGAAGATAATCTAATAGACGAAATACTCTTCTTATACATTTGGTCAATTGGTTCTTTCAAGTAAAATTGTAAACAAAAAGTATCTTCTACATGTAAGTGTTGAAACAATGTTCCTTTGGAGATATTACGTACATACGACTGCCTTACAACTTAAAGTTTCAAATATTGCAAATGGGCAAATGAGGGCTTCTTCCTGACTTGTACAGTTTTATAATCCGTACGTGTTTTTGCTTTAGGGCATTATGTACCAGGTTGGTGCTGACGGCTCGTGTCAGAAGTCAAGTCTTGAACAAAACATGACCAGACAATGCATCCTATGTAAGTAAACAGTTTACATATTGAAATCATGCATTTGCATAATATTTACCAATAAAATTGAATTAAATTGAAAAAAATTGACACCGCATTTTGAGATTCTATACGAATTCTTTTCATTCTGGAAAATTAATATTTGAATTGTAACATGGATATTTAACATGAATTTATACCAATGGGAACGAAACTGAGACGCTCCAGCTTGATAGTTGGATACGAAGACGGTCTTCAAACAGGATTCGGCTGACTAATTTTTTCGACCGATTTTGATACTATCCTTTCTTGTAAACGGTGTAGTACATTTGTAGTTTTGTTCCTTTTAATAATAAAACTAATGAAGTTTTGTCATCGATTGTTTCAAAGATTCAAAGCTTATAACAGGAATTTTACGTAATCATATTACACGTAAAGCATTTGCATACAAAAAACCCCCACGTTTTTGCATCTCCTACGTGTTTAGTATTTGTAATGAAATGTCGTGTTTATAGTTCCTTTCACCAGTATCTTAAATACAATAAACACAACGTATATATAAATGTAATACAATAATCGTCTTCGAAAGACTCTAAACAATACCGGAGCATTGGAGATTACACCAATATAGTTCATTGATCGCGGGGTTATTATCTTAAAAAAAGATACATCTGATGTTTTATATCTAACCAAGGGTTTTAATTGACTACCATGATTAAAACTAACATTAACTTGATAACCGACAGCGCTTAGATTGGACTGGACACATCATGACGATATTATTGTAGTATATTTAACAAGGACAAACAATGCGTTTGAGGATACCAGTCCTACTGTACTGGATGATTCCGTACAAACAGTAATTTCTCCTTCATGGGTTTAATTTCATTAAAAAGGTTGCTGTTTTCGTTTTATGTTTAAGCTCATTGTGTTTGTCCTATTGTTTAGATTGATCCATTTCTGTTAAGGCGGTTAATATAATATTTGTCTAATGTGCATAATGAAGCTGCATATTTATTTTTAAAGCTGGAAATAAACTTTAAGAAACATCTGTGGGCGGAATAAAAAAAATAAACAATTATACACCGAGACAACCCTTGATAAACTTACTTTGTACACTGAGACATCTCCTAATAAATTTATTTTATACACAGATACAACCCCTTATAAACAGCAGGTTAGATTGTCGCCCTTACATCAGTCATCACCCCTCTGTTTGCGGCTATAAATACATGTAGCTCCTAAATCATGAGCCTGTCAGCTAGTGTACAGCATCCGTCCTGGCGACCGTTATTTATCTCTCACGCACATCCACACATATACTGAGCTGTTAACAAGAGAAATATGGCGAATTATCAACTTCCTGTTTATTTTTGGTTGTCTTGAGCTGGAAACATGTTTCTGAGCATACGTAGGGTATTTCATTTTGTTCAAGTTGATTAAAAGCTTTAAGATACTTTGCACAATTACCACCTCTGGTATCTGTCTTTCCAACTTTTATTTAGCTGGTGGAACGGAAGTGGTGCATGGATTTCTGGCAGGCGCTAATACCAATGTAGCAAACTATATGTTTGATGTCGAAGGATCGATTCCATTAAAAATCACAGCATCTGTCATCAGGGGTAAGTATACTATACATGTAATGTCTATAGACTTATTTTTTCTTCGTTCACCCTTGTTCGTTACTTAACAAGAATATTTAGGTACATAGAGAAGAATACAACTTGCGATTGAAGAAATGCTTACTCCTTACTTATGAGGCAATTTGGGTTTTCATCCAAACAATCTTGTGGACGTTCTTGATATGTTTCGTTTTCATGTACAGTAGTGTATATTTGGTTCCTGTTTTTGTTCTGTCATATTGATTTTGGGTTCTGATTCCGTGCTTTTGTGATACATGTAACACTGCTTTTCTTCCTTTTTGATTTTTCAACAGACGGCAACGATTGTTGGCCTGTGCGTGCCAATTTTATACCCGAAGCTGGTATAGCAAGCAGAGATGGACAAAGTGGTATTATGTACAACTTTGACTTGCTGGACACGTCACGAGGTATTCGGAATCCGTCTATTTTCAAACCTCCACCCCAATGTAACGGAATTCCATTTACAAAGGTACGTTATGGTCGATGTTTTTTTCAGAGATAGTACAATTTTTTATTTAGTTTTGTGTAATTAATTGTTCCGACTGATTTTAAATTAATTGACCTTCCTTTCACTTCATTTTCTCTTGTAGCCAACTCTATTACAACAATGTTCTTCCTTTGTCTTTTTTAAAATTGGAGCTTTTTTCTTAACTTGATATTCTTAATTTCAATAGTAAGCCATTGGAAATATCTTATTTCTTTTATATCTGAATATCACAATTGTCGATGTTAATATCCATTAACATATACACATATTTTCATATCACAGAAAGTCCTAAAACTATTTAAAGCAGCACATTGTGGAAATTTAAGGGAAAAATGATAATTCAGACAGAATTATGCATTATTATGTGTTATTTTTTAATTCCCTTTTGTTTGTTTCAGAAATATACCCATAAAATCGATCCTTTTCGATTCATTTTACATCAATTTGGATTACATTAGTAAAGGCAAGCAGCATGAATGTGTACCGCAAGATCTTCTTGTACATTTAATGTAAATTAAACATTATGTAATTTAATTTACTTGTTTTGAATGCTATTGGACATAATTTAGTAATAAAATGTTCCCCAATGTTATGGTCACCTGTACAATATATTTTTCTTTTGTTTTATTGTTCTCTCTTTATATATTTTCTGGATTTATGTTGATGCAAAATACCGATTGTTATCATTAATATTAATTTAAAATATTTTAAAAAACAGTTTAAGAGACAACCACAAGCTGTTGTTTCTTTCACAACGTCGAACAACACGTAAATACTTTAATTTTTCTGATTACGAAAGCCTGCTGTGTTGCGTTTTGTTCGTTCACCTGACCCGAAGTTGAAGACAGATGAAAAACACATTTACTCTGGAGCATGCTCTAGCTCAGACTCAAGTTTTTGTATATCGAGCGAATTAAGGTATATTAACTAAATGACTCGGTACATCCTCTGGCCAATGAAACTCAATGTGTACAAACAAGGAATACGGCTCCCTTGGGAGCAGAGTGCTTAAACACAGAATTTTTGTAGTTTTCGGCTTTGGATCGTCAGTTTAGGAATACGCTTTAAACTCCGTCCATATCCGTTAACTCTTCTTAAGAGTAACATCTTGTAACCTTTGCCATACAATATATAGAATGTACTTAAAAACTAGCAGTTTTTACTCTGTACAATCATAAAAATGTATTGTGTAAGTATTTTTTCTTAAAATTTTTCCTTCAGTACACAAGCAGCTTGAAACTTCAAACACCAAAAATGTACTGTTTATCAGGATTTTTTTCACAGGAAACTATCGGGGTAACGAATGTTTAATAAACAACATACCATATATAGTAAATATATATGGGATGAATTTGAACAGTTCCAGACTGAGACTAATTACCTTAGTCGGCACACCTTAGGAGACTTCCGTGGAAGCGAGGAAACGACCTATGAAGAGGGACCTACCTGACGATGGAACTGGTCTACTTATAGAACCAACCTAGATATATACAAGGTTATGAAGGGCGAAATTAACGCTGGAAGAATTTAGATTTCACCAGTGGATGGTGAAAACAGGACCAAGCGAAAGTTCTAAGGTATAAAACGTATCATTTTAACATTATCAATGTATATATACGTTTTATGTTTTCCAATAAACGTAAACACTAGCCAATAACAAAGGTTTACTCTAACAAGGTTATGGTCAAATAAACCATGTAATTAATTTTCATGTCGAATCAAAATATACAAAACGCTGATTAAAACAAACACTGATAAATGCTGAATTCCTACATAATGTTTTAAAAATAGATAAACCAAAGACTTTTCGATAAATAAGTAGAAAGAAACTATGTAGAACAAGCACAAACCGTCGAGGTATTCGATTTTGTCATTATGAAATTTCGCTAAACACAATTATCTGATGACGCTCGTACTCCAGTAGATCGGCTAGCGGAGTGTGGTTTACAGAATGATGTAAGTAAGGAACGACTTTCCGAAATTTTGCACCTCTAGAGAACGCAAACCAACCCCTCATGTACTATACATACTAATTATCATCTGTAATAACAAAAGCCTTATGTACCGTGCCGTTAAGCTAGAAAAGCTTACATCCGCAATGACAGTATCCTGATAATATATTTTGAAGTAATTTCATTTCATACCCATGTGAATTGTAAATTTCTCAGGGTGACATGCGATTAAAAACGAAACTATTTCAATCTACACAACATATACACATAAAACTGTGTAATTATTAACAGTTTTAATATTGTAATATCGTTAGTGTTATCGTAAACGTAAACGCTACCCGGCGTTCAGTTAAAAAGTTTACTAGTTCAGGAGGCTGGGACTGTTGTTGTTGAATCCAAGGACACAGTTTCGTCATAATGTGTGTAATCTAATCCTTCCAGAGGTACCGCTCGTCCCCCAGTAGATCGGCTAGCTGAACTAAGTATGGTTTGTAAAATTTAGTTAGTAAGGAACGAGTTTCCGGTAACATGTCTCCAGTCTCTGAGCCTTTTTTCTTTCTGCTGTTTTTTGAGGTATTTCTTACTCGTTGTTCAACGTTCCCTAAATAAATAAGATGATGTCATGTAAACTGTTTTTAAATAAGCAGTTAAACTCATCATTCAAATATTAAATTATCAAAATCAGGTTGTTGACATCTGCGTTTCAAATGGAACTTATTACATTTCTAAGTATTAACTCCCACGTTCTTCGACAATTTTTTTCATTAGTTTACAAAAGTATATATTACTGAAGTTAATTGAAGTAAATACAGGTTTACCAAGAGTTAATTTTAAGTAACCACTGAACCTAGAACATTTCTATTTATAATCACATTTCACATATTTCATCAATTCACATAATGTATTTGTTACTACATTGAATTAAAGTGCGTTATAATTAGTGTTACCGATGAACTCACAACGATCATGTTTGATAATGCATTTAAAAGCAAACGAGTAAAATGCTATGTGTACTGATGATCAAGTGGTCGTAAAAAATAACCCTTGACGCTTCGCCTTGAACGACTACAGAAACAGGTAAAGCATGAACAATTTAAGAAAGCATATGCATCCATATGTAATAAAATACATACTCACATCTAGAAAGCGAAAAATATTCCTCATGACCTCCAACTTGTTCTTGGAATACTCGTCAAGTCGTATTATATGAAACTGGTTTCGATGGAAAAACTTCATATACTCTTTGATGAATACCACATAGAACCCATTGCTTAGGGGTACCGAGCTAGTCACATTAGCCTACAAAACAATAATCATAATACATTATATTTTGTACTAAGAAACCCATTCCATCAACGAAATATTGAATAAAAAAGAAGGTTCTTTTACAAGGACATACTTATATTTTGATTTTGACATATGCCTGAGGTATATTTTCATCTCTATTTTTATTCATTTAAAAATATATATACATGTAAAAGAACGTAAAGGGCTAATAAAAAACCCTCCTCGAATTCATAAAGCTGTTAGCTATAAGGAAAGTAAGCTTAAATAAGGTGTGTAAAGTATCTGATAAAATATACGACTTATATAAATTCTACAAATTGAAGTTTTGAAAATGGAACTTTATTTTGTTTGTTTTGTAGTCATGCTGTCGCTAAGACCCCGGCGGTTTTACATTTTACCGCGAAAACACACTGTTCCAATAGGAAAACAAATCTGTATTTTATTTTGTATGATTGCATCGGAAAATTCAAATAATAATGTAAATATAAGAACGCGATCATTGGAATATGTCCTGAGAACCAATGTTGATATGACCTCATGAACGTTGAAAAAAACCCACCTTAAATAATGTACCTTTTTTTGTGATAGCTGTCATAAGACGATCATTTTGAATATTTATTCATAAAACAATTGTTTTGAATTGCGATCTTTTTGAAAGTTTGTGTTTGTGTTTCAGGTTTTGAACCAGATGACTTAGTCCAAATTGTGTTGAATTAGTGTTATCCTTCCCGTTGCAACTAAAAAAGGTATACTATATTGTGTCAATAGGTGACCTATTATATGTAATATATTGGTGTTATTTGTATATTTTGAACCTGGGGAACCTATAAACCACCTACAATACTATTTGCGATATATTGATGGCGTATGATTATTTCATTAAAAGGTATTGATGACGTATGATAACCTCATTAAAAGAGTTATGATACAGGCAGTATCTAATATCGTGGTAAATGGAACAGTTCTGGAATGAACGTATTTCCTTTAGCACTTCTTGATGGAATCGTTTTGGCGACACTTCTCCTTCGCTAACAGCTAAGTAGTCAGAATACAACCTGAATAATAAATATGGTTTTCTGGAATTTATCACCAAGTTTACTCTTACTTTTTGTATTGTTACTGGGTAAAATGGAAAACAACACACAAGGTAACAGTGAAGTCACGTCCTTAAATGACAAAAGTCGTTAATAGGACGTTAAATCTAAATACAACACCACGAAAGACGATTGGCTGTGAAAGTTTCATAAATGGTTGTGTTACTGTGTATATTAAAACAGTAAGAGAAATGGTAGGTACAATGGCAACATACAAGGACGAGTTGATGACGTCAATGCTTAATGACAACACAACTAGCTGGTGGGACACCACAATATTAACTACCTCATGAACACGTACACAATGGAGATTAAACAAGAACGATTAATATAAGTGGTAATGCCTTATTTCAAAAAAGTAAATACAGTTTATATTCTTGTATTATAAACGGAGATGAACACTAGGCCCTTACCTTGACACAGGGTTCCGGAGTATGATAATCATTTTCAGATTGGGCATTAAACGGTGTATATAATTGGCGTTTGTCAGAGCCGGAGGTTCAGAATCATACTGGTTCACTGCATAGTTCCACCACCATCGATTGTCCCATAAATTCGAGGTCGACGCCTCTCCTGGAATGTCAACGGAACTGGCATAGTAAATCGGCATTTTTAAGAAATAGTATACAATTAAAAAAACATTAACAAAAATATTTCCAAGCAATAACACACAGAATAGCAATAAGGAGCCAACCAGATACGACAACAAATATGAAAGACGATCATGACCCCTCCCTATACGACACAAATATAAACTACAGAAGCAAAGCAAGGTTGTCCGGGTGATTTCTCGAGAAGCAAAACCAGGTGCACGGGATGGTTTCTTCAAAAGCAAGACCAGTTGATCCGGATGGTAAATTCAAAAGCAAGACCAGGTGATCCGGATGGTTTCTGCAAAAGCAAGACCAGGTGATCCGGATGGTTTCTTCAAAATCAAGACCAGGTGATCCGGATGGTTTCTTCAGAAGCAAAACCAGGTGAACCGGATGTTTTTTCGGAAACAAAAACCAATTGATCCTGATAGTCTCGCATAACATAACTTATTAGTGGTTTGATGGGAAAAACCTTCAATGAACAACCTCCAAATAAAGTATATGTTTGATTTGTTTTCGAAGATTAAGGCTTCCCGCAATCCTGCCAAAAACTGTAAGTAAGTTTCCGGCATGACTATAGCTTTAATAAATCAATTTTTGAAAAAAATATCCAAACCTTGCAGGACTTCTATGAGAAATATTAATAATAATGAAACAAACAAAACAGTATCAACAGCAGCTACGGGGAAAACCCTTGCTGGTTCGGCAAAAAGAATACGCTTGCTGTATCCCACTGCTTGATCGTAATGGTCGCATTAATGTGGGACCCCTGCATAATCGTGGAGGTTCTTCAGTGTCGTCTACGGTCGGGACATGCAGGGAACTATAGTTGATCTACTGCCCAATTCCAAAACTTGGGATCTTTTTTTTTTATTTCCTATCGTTCCTGTCTTCTGTCCTTTCTATGTACTTTCTGTTATAGGCGGTGTCTCCCTAGGCACGCGTCTTCATATCACCATGGCCGTTGTGAGGAAGATAAACCCAAAACAAACAAATGTTACGGGAACGTGACATTTTTTTTCTGTCTTCCGCATCGTGCTGTCTGACGTTGTTTTTATTGTAGCTTATTAATCATCATAAAATGATGCATCGATTATAACATATTATAACATGTTAATAAAGAACATATTACCTCACGTATGTCTGTATTTGAAGTTACCAACAACACACGTTTATAGTGTGTGGACTTGCCTTTAAGTCGCGGTGTAAGGAATATATGTGGTATATTTCGTATTTGCACGTAGATTATTTAATATCCATTGTACGTTATTCACCATCATGTATTCTACACCAGATAACAATGACTGATACACTACATCAATACATACCCGTGATGATTTCTCTACTACGCTTTTTCTCCGCCAATGTCGTACCAGTCAGCAAATGTTGTATTTTCTTTGCTGTGCTGTCGAAGTAATTGACATAATCGTCCCAATTCCGTGCTTGGTAAGGTTCTACAAGATACATGCTTATTTAATTAAATTTAATATATTGAATTGTACCGCACGTTTTTTCATTTGGTGGCAACACTTTAATCATGTTATTCATATATGATCTAACAACTATCTTTAGTATATTACCTTTTATATGATTATTTATGTATGTAATTGTGTTTATCATCGGATACATGTATAATCCTGTGGGTCTGTTCTTAAACTTGATTTGTTGTGCAAAAGATATTAACAAATAAGGATCAACGGTAAATGCGGTCTCTGAATGCCTGTACTAATATTTCATGGCGCATGCGCAGACTGCGTACACTGATTTGCATGACTGGGGTGATTTAGCGGGTAAACGAGCTTTAATTACCCTTACTGTGAGAAAACTACCTTATAACTAAAGTGTAATTTGTCTCTTCGTATCCACTATTGTTTACGTTATAACTGTTAAATATATTACTTTTCAACTTCTACGGTATGGTGTTGTTATATCTGGCCAAGGGTCTATTTGTACACCGATACTTTATAATTATTCTCTACATACAGGTGAGTGGAAGCTTCGTGTTAATATAGCTCACGGGAGACACATTGTTGTGTATGTCGTATGATCAAAAGAACCTTTTTAATTGACAATGTTGGATAATAGCAAAAAAAATCCAGTGAATAACTTCGTCGGTCGTCAAGTCATTCTGTCTCAAATGGGATTTCATATTCATTTCCAGTGAGATATACATGTACTAAAGGTATACTTATAACCAAAGAAAAACTGAACTGTAGCTTGTGTAATAATTGTTTAAATTCGTGAGATGACATCAGTTGGCGACAAAGCTTAAGCCGTAGACACGATACTAGTTGTATAATGTAGTAGTTGCACNTCCTACATAATTATTTCGTATGTGATATGCTTCTTAAAAATGTAGTAGTGGGCAACTTCCCCCACACTTATCTTAGGTTTTAGAATAGAGTGTTTAGATGTAGAACAGGATAGTTGTTGGATACATACACAGACTATCTTTCATTATATGAGATATCCGTTCCATTGTCTAAAATGATAACTATGCATTAGAAACAAATGTTACTGACATGACTAGAACTTTGATAAATCATTTATGAAAAGAAACCATACCTTGCGGGACTGTTATGAAAAA